TCGACAACGTGCCGGATAAATCAGCTGAAGTTAATGGGCCTAAACGCAAAAGCCCCAACGAAATGTTGACAGCGCCTCTGAATACGAATTTAGAGGATGAGCATGAAAATCAGCTGAAACGCAGAATTTTACGCCCTAAAAAAATGATTAATTATTCAAAATTACATAAAACGGGCAGAACGGCACGAGTTAATTTTATGAATATTTTCTATCGATAATTACCGGAGAAATAATTACGCGGACTAGTTGGGATTATTTTATGTTATTTTTGTCGTCCAGAATAATATGGATCGAGACCAGAATCAGGATCAACGACCTGTCCCGATTCCATCACGAGGACGCGGATCAAGACGGGGACGACCTCGATGAATCGTGGAGGATATTTTAATCCACCACTACGTGGTCCCTATATCTACGATCCCCGAAACGCAGCACAGGAAATTCAAGTGCCGATACGACTCCCGAATGTTTCGCTGACGCACCAGCAAAACCCATATCAGCAGGGAGGCGGCACGGTGACAGTTCCTTTAACACCAGTTATTGTGCTGCAGGAAACACCTCCAGTGACACACGCGCAACGAACGCAACGACAGTGGATTACTTCGCAACGAAGCGTACCAAGGCCGATTTATACGATTGCCGTCACATCTGCAACGAATACGACCACAACAACTACGGCTACTTCTACATCTATGGCTACGCGTCCAGCGTCAGTGTCACGTCAATCAAGTGGAGAAACTGTCCAGATTATGGCTGATTTACGCGCAGAGAATCCACGAGACCGTATACGAATTACCGGCCCACTTAATACTGACGAACAGTATCGCCGGCAAATCATGGAAGAATTACGCGCGGAATTAAACGCCCAGATGCGACAGCCAGGACAGATAGAAGCGTTTATCGAACAATCAGACGATCCAATGAACGAATCAATTACACTCCGTATTCCTACGAAAGGAATGAATCGCCGTCGAAAAGTGACAGAGGAAAAGTCTACGCAGACTAAAATTCAGAAATTGGATGAAGTGATGCAGTCTCGACAGTCAGAAATTCCTTCGGAACTGTCTTCAGTCCCTGTTTCACGCGCATCGACACCAGCACGATCTGAATCCCGCAGCCGACATGCCGACGAACGGCAGTACGACATTCCACAAATTAGCCAGGCGATTGTTGCCATTAAGGAGTGCATTGAGACAGTCAAGAAACGAAAGCGTAAGCCTTCTATGGCTTATCTGGAAAGAGCAGTATCGCCAATGGGAAAAAGATATTCATAATCGTAAAGCGGATATGAAATTATTCAAGTACGCACTGGAACAAGGAGTGCAGCGTGGAACGATTTTGGAAACATATAACGACTGGCAGACTGATGCAGCCTATGTGAATCCAGAGTCACTGCAACGTGGTCACGAAGACTACACGATGGACACGCCGCACAGAATTGAAGAGGCAATTATAAAGGCCTTAAAGGAAATTCGAAACCCAAAGGGATCCACCTACGACGAAATTTTACGACATTTAAAGGCCGTTTTTCCAGCACCCACAGTAGACTGGATTCGACACTAGCAGAACGGTCGTCGAGCGGTAGATGCCCTGGCTGAACAATATATGACAGAAGTTTTTTGCCAGAGAAATGATACCAGAGCCACGTTATGCTTTCATGGCATCACGCAGACAACGATTGTCTGGCCTGACTGCAAAACTGGGGCGTAAAATTCCAAAAACGCCATAAGGACCAGATGTACGTCCAGCACCGACGACGCATGGGCGATATTCTAACGTAGTGATGGAACCAAAACGCCGTTACGATACGACGTCATCTGGCGAGGGAATACATCTGTAATTTATTGGATGAACCACAGTCTGAACCGCGACGAAGTGAAAGAATTAGCCCAGCGTACGCAACGCTCGGCCCGGCTGACACAGACAGCACCGGAACCACTTCGGGAACATCCAGACCACCAGTCGCGAGGAAAGCAAACCGTCGAACAAACCCGCACGATCCCTTGTCTCCCGCAAGTTCACGTAGTGCAGCACTTTCAGTGGATGCACCAGTATTCATCTCTATCGATAGTAATACGCAGGCAATACGAATCGTCGAAAATATTCAAAGTTGACCTACGGTTATTAGAATTTGGGTGGTAATACGTGCACAGCCGGGAATGACTGGAATTACGCGAGAAAGAGTTCAAGAAAAACCGCATGCCAGAAACGCACGTCTCGTAGAACGATATTACGGCAGCTGGGAAGCAGTTTATCAGCAGCCATGCAGCATTACGAATCGACAAAATGCTGACTTTGAAAATTCATTCATTTGGTCGGGGGCTATCAATCGCATCATCAGAGACATTCGGCATCCTAACGGATCAACAATCCGGGAAATTTATAATTATTTACGAATTTACATGATCAATGGAATGCCAAATAACGCTGAACAAGAAATCAAAAATACATTAGCAGATGAGCTGAATTACGCAGAGGACGACGGCCGATATAAGACAGTCGGAAGGAAGTAGACAGAGGAAACGCTATGATTGTCTGACGAACAGTCTGATCTGTCTATTACGCCCACTTGAAAGAATTATACGAAGAAAACGCTATGATTGGCTGACGAACAGCCTGCAGTTCTCTACCACGCCTCCGAATTTCATGAGTGAACGAGATGAGACGCACGTGCTAGCTGAACGGCAAAAACCGCATGCAAACCAGTCCTTCATCTGCATAGCCGGCTGACAGTGAATATTTTTGAATTTTTTTTTCACGTACCGGTAAAATGGAGTATAAAATTGAAAAGTTCCACGAAAACTGTGAGCGATGTCAGAAGAACGCCGAACGTCCATGCGTACGTCATTTGTTGTCCGGATTGACGGAACCGCAGAAGGTAGCAGAACTCTTCTACGAAGCCATTCTGGGTAATGTAGCCGCGTACCTGGAGTTTATCCGCCCGGAGTACTGGGAGAGTCCGCACAACAACGAGAATTTCCGCGAACGAGTCATCGTGGAAACGCATATGCGCATTCGACGGAAGGAGGAACGCTGGAGGGATATCGAACGCCCACCATCACAGCCAGCTGAAAAGCCGAACGCAGGTACGCTGCCAGTTGTTAATCTGGCTCAGTTCACGAAATCTACGCAGGAACCTTCAGCCCCACGACACCCATCACTCGATAAACGAGTGGAGAACATGCCGGCGCTGATGAAACGCATCACCGAAACGGAGCCAGTCATCCAGGATGTCACAGCTACATTCCGTGGATGGGGACGAACCCGAGAACCCGTCATCTATAACGAGCAGATCGCCAACAAACCGATCTTGAAGAAGTTCTCATCGGTACCGAACGTCTTCTTGGACCCGAAACTGCAACCTCCTACGAAGGAGAAGGACGATTCATGTGACGAACACATGAACCCGCGCATTTTACAACATCCAACTATGATGGGTATTCACTTCGGATACGGCACTATTACGACTCAAGCGGAACGGTTGCAGAAAGCTTTGAATCTGCGGAATGCTGACGATGTAACAGAGACGGCCCTGAAAAGGATGGTGTTGAGTTTCCATTCCTTTTATCAGAAATCGGAATTGGACAAAGTCGTGCAGGAACAGAATACTCCAGGCTTGAAATTTTCCCGGAAAGAAGCGGAGTATGTGTACTACACGGAACGACGCCGTCACAATATGCAAACACAGCTGAGCCGCGACCGAATCGGAGTTCCTCTGTTAACTCCAGATGCAGAATGGCTGAGTCAATTCCAAATACGTGGACACGCGAAAATGGAGGCGTATGTGCTACAGTTTATCCTACCGGAGACGAATCCGGCGTTGTTCTTTTTAGCCTGTCGCGCTTCCATGGATATTACGCAAGCCATCTGCGAAGTTAACAAGTACAGCGATACGCAGTGGAAAGATCGACCAGTGGACGACCCACTGAAACGTTTCTTCCGTCTGGTATTTGCCGCACGATTGGGACATTTTAATTCCCACTGCGAACTCGCGGATGAGAAGAAGAACTGGCGTGAATACGGACGAACTATGGTGGATGCACTCGGTAAACCAGAGGACCGCGCTACGGCTCAGAGACGCATCCGGGCGATGATTGAAAACGACAATCTACGAAATCATGGATTCAAAGGCATGGATATTAATCCTGAAGCACGAGACTTCAGTGCGGAATATGCGTTAATGGACCATGTGAAAACTCCCCGGATTGTGCAGCCAGTTCAGCCAGAGGTACGAAACCTTCAGGCTAACGACGCCCGTATTATCATTGATAATAGTCGCGATCCTAATCGATCCCGCCAGTACGAAGGAGAAGCTGCTGACGATCAGCAGCCAAATTCTGGAACGCTTGGATATGGCTACGAAAGCCACTCGGGACGAGGCAGTCGCGCTGCGGATCGGGATGATCGTGACGAACACGATTATTATGATGAAGATGATTACGAAAATCAGCAGCGACGCCGCAACCGCCAAATTGGACGATACGACCCGAAGCGCTAAACTGACGAGTGGCACTGCTGAAATGGGAATAATTGGAATTTTGTGTTAATAAATTTGTGTTAATTTTTTTCAAATGTTGATCTAACCAAAGAAATTGACAGTTTATTATTTCCTAAATAATTGTGATGGAAATGATCTTGATAAATTTGCTCATTCTAATGATGCTCATTTTGTACGGAATGAAATCTCTTTATTTCATGAAATTTGTGTTAATTTTTTATTGACACGCTGGCCAGAGACGATACGGATGGATATGAAGGCTGACGAACAGCATTGTCTCGCAGGAGCTCGAGTCCCTTTCCGGTGGCATGCAGGGATGACGGTACGAGTTGTACGATACAACTCTGTACTACGTCACCACAGGTGTGCAGAGCCAGCCAGGTGGATATGTGGCCAGCGTGGTGTTGTGTTCTTTTAGTGTGTTGATATGCACAGTCTTGACTGGCATATATTTTTCTCTTCCCTTTTGTGCCCTTTCCTCCGCAATGTATTGCATTCACTTATGAATAAAATTCCCATTTTATTCACGTGTGTTGTCTCATATTCATTCGTCATCCGGGATACGAGGATTAAACCTCGTATTCCCTATAATAAGGACGAGGACGATGTCGCCATTGTGTACATTAAGAGGGAGCCGGAGGAGATCATCCGCAAGCTGCTGGTACGCGTCGTGGTGGGGAAGCATGTGCAGTATGCGGCGCGTGGAGCCGTTCAGGATCTGCTGCCGGATGCTGCTTATTTCCAGCATGGACTGACTCCGGTGGGCAACGAATATACGGTGGTGGTGCCGGACGGTGTGGACCCGCTGGCGGCTCATTCCGTCCTGCTGACCGCGCTTACTCCCGGAGTACCCCTCAACTGGAAGGCAACGGCCAAGGGCTTGACGGTGGAGCAGCTGCGGAAAGCGGCGGCGCACTTCAATATCAGCGTCGAAAAGCTGGGTAAGGCTAACAAATACGAGCAAGTAGTCCAAATCGCAAGAGAAAGGACAGATGAAATTCCTTGTTTGTTTATGTGTTTTTGAAAAGTTCGATGGAGACTGCAGACTGCAGAGGATAAATGGCGATAAAGTGTTAACAAGCAGTAATTTTGCCTTGTCGCTCTGCCGCCTGATGCTTGCCTTTAAAAATAATGTGTATCTGTAGATGCTGTCGACATACGAGTTAAGCATTTCTTACAGAACGCTAAAATATTTAAGCTTCGAATTTGTAGGCAGTTTCGTTGGGTGTTATAAACCAAAATCACACTACATTCTGTACTTGTACTCTACTCTGCTGTACTGTACTCTACTTGTACTCTGCTGATCTTCGAGACCTTCTAACGTTTAAAAATATAGTTATTTTACTCACTTTAATAAATTGTTTAGCAGTAGAAGGCCTTTTATTTCATCTGTTAATTTGTAGTGTACAAGTAAAAATTATTGCTCATTTTATTTGTAACTGTTTTAGTTTAGACTGCAGGTTTGTGTTGGTATCAAATTTACGGTAAGATTTTGCAGGGCTACCACCGCCTAAGCCCAGCAGTAGTGGGCAACGCGCTAACATAAACCCTGCACCGGGACCGTCGAGCGCTCCGTCCGGACAGGCTGGCAGTGCTAGAGCCATAGATAACCAGGACGACGTCGAGATCTTCGAAGACGAAGATTCTTCTGTTGATTCGGATTCGGACTCAGCAGACGAAGATTGGTCAGGTTGCTCGGAGTCCGAAGATGGTGATGCAGATCCTCCGGATCCGAATGGCGTCCCTACAAAATCGTATGAGGAGATGCAGGATACATTCCGGTCCTATTCCAACACGCCCGAATTTTTGAACCTGCCTTTCAAACAGCTGTTAACGCTGATTGGGAAAGGTTTCTTGGCAGTGCGGTCCGAAAAGGATGTCTATCAGGTACTGTACGTAGGGGCCGTATGGCGTTCAATCACTGGTGGATACCACACATTTGCAAAAAACAAGGAGGAATATTTAATAATGATGATAATTTTGCGATTTCACATCTTGCAGCCTGAAGGTTGCTGTACAAGCCCGGTGATTAGCGTTTTGCGTGAAGGTACAGCGAGAACTGCAGATTCACGAGCTGCCTAAGCTCCATACTGCGACCCGCCACGCTACACATGTAGCGGGCCTAATGCATGTAACGCGTAAAGAGTACGAGTACTCTTTGCGCGTTACATGCATTAGGCAACGCAGATGCACGTCTAATAGATATCGTTTAGACTAAAACATTTTTACTTATCGATTTTACTTATCGAATTCACTTAACGTAATAATTCACTGGGTGATTCTAAGCGCCGGCATCGCGTTTACCTCTACGCTAGAAACTAATTACCCGCCTTCGGCGGCCTGAGTTGATTGTACCGCGAGACTATAATTATTACTTCTTAGCAATTATAGTAGTGTGGTCTGCACGGTTCTTTAGATGTTCCGTCTTCTTTAAATATTCCTGATCTCTTTTGCATCTCTGACGTTATTTATCATTTTAGGCAGTGATGAAGTGGTGCAATTACCAGCGCAAATCGCGCTGTAAGGAACGCATTCTGGCACCATTATTAGCCGAGATTCGCTGGGATCTGTTAATTGATACTCTGGAGCAGAAAATTTCAACGGCAAAAGATCCGACACTCAAGATACTGTCTGATATAAAGAAAGTTGTTAAGCCGACATGGCGCCGGATCACGGCTGAACCACGACAACGCCATTTCACTGAAACTGTGTACACATTCCACGCTGACCGACATCAGGTTAGCCTACGTCGCTTCGACTGGCGGAACAACACCCTGTCCGCCACCATTTCGCTGAAAGGTGTTCCCGCATCATCGACGTGGAAGGAATTCGGTCCGGTGGTCGACAATAAATTGTCTTTCCGGGTGCAGCGCGGTGCCAAATTGCAGACCTTTCAGTATTGTCCGGTTTCGAAGAAAGTTCGCCTTTTGTACGATGAACCACTGGCAACGGGTAGAGTCGGCCCGACAGCGTATTTAAACGGACTACTGCACCGCTGGGATTTTAAGAACGAGGATTATGATAACAATTCTACCTACGATCCGGTTTCCAAAGAAACTGTGGAAGATCTCCAACCTCCTTATGAGCTGAGGTAACGTACATACATACCTAAATACTGTAGTTGCAGAAAAAACTGCTTATAACTTGTAAAGGCGAGTAGTTGCGATAATTCTTCTGAAAGTGTTCGGAATGCGAAAGGGTCGAAGTAACTTTAGTTCTCAAACTCGCTCCAAAATTAATGATTTCAAACCCAAATTCTCAGACTCACCATCTTTAATTGATTGGCTATTGTCAAGCGTGCTGAAAAAACTATTGTACCAGTTGGTCTATGGAAAAATGCAGCTGTTGCTTTCCTCGTCTGATTGATGTTTAAAAATACAGTGCTATCTTCGATTCAACAGGAAAGAGGCGGCATTCGACTGCTTCGACGATAAGTTGTATTACTGCGGCGGGATGCCCATATTCGGACAGCGTCGTCATTCAGCTGTATCGATGGTAGAAATGTACGATGCCGAGCCCGACAACCAGTATTGGACCTCTTTACCCAGTATGCGTTTCGCACGCCGCTGTTTCGCAGTCAAGGTCTTCAATGGATACCTGTACGCGACGGGAGGCGCGTGTAATTCCGGGGAAACCTTCCACCAAGGTATCATGCACACGTGTGAACGACTGCAGCTGGACAATCCGGAGGCGGAATGGGAACGCATAGCGGATTTAGAGGAGGCCCGATACAACCATGCTATGTTTGTTGTTAATGGCCGGCTGTACGTCTGTGGAGGAAGTGTATGGTACGGGACGCAAAGTACCACCATGGAGAGATACGATGCCGAAAAGAATCAGTGGGATCGCTTCTTTGATACGGAACAAAACCTGTTTGGAGCCATTTCTCACTGCGCCACGCTAACTCAGTGCTACAAAGGCTGAACACTGCTCACCAGTTCGGCTGTCGTGCCGAAATTTGATTGAGAGGATGATGCATCCATTTGGGCTGGAGTTGGAAAATTGCCGTTCATTAGTTTCGTTTGGAACATGGTTATTCGCTCACATTTTTATAAATGGTCTTTGACATCAACCAGACTCGGAATTGATTAGCGCATTTAATTCTTCTGTATCTTTGTTTGTACATGGCATTGGTCTGTGTGGACGGAATGGTACGTAGTCGAATGTTAGTTGTTAAATTTGTAATGGCGCTGTTTTAGTTTCGTAACACTTGCTCTGTACTGCAGTTTTTGTTGACAACGGTCTCAAGACTTGATCTTGGAATTCTGGTGCGTCGTGTATAAATAACTGCAGCTGTTTTTGCAAGAATAAGCGCATTGCCCGGCGTGCAGACATCGTGTACGAGTACATTATTAACATTCATTCATTTGTCCCATTTCTGCACGCAAGTTTTGTTGCCCTTGGAACATAATATGGTCAATGTGAGCAGTAATTATTGCTGCCTCTTTATCGCATGTAATAATACTGACTCGACGAAAACTTTTAGCGGGCTGTTATCATCCGATAAAAGTCTTACAAGTCGACCATAAGCAAGGGTATATACTACATACAACGGCAATTTATTACAGTCACGCTAATGTAACTAAAAAGCGGGAGCCATCGCGTATCTTCTGTTGCATGTTAGGCTGGCAATTCATCTAACCAATAGGTTAATTCGCTTCCTTTTCCCTGTTAAAAAAAATTTGACGACCGTTACATCTGCCACGCCATGCAAGGTTCAAAACAGAGACTTTACCTTTAAAAGAACAGAACCTCGTTGAGTGACGGTTAAAAGTTGGGGCTGGTCCGACTTGCATACGGTGATAAAATGGTCGTAAGTACGCGAGGATATTTGTATGCGTCCTGGCTCACTGTGAGACGCTAGTCGCGAGGCCGTGTTGATTGCATCGCCAAATCTAACAAACAAACCTGCTTATTTTCTTCCCGTTCTTTTAAAATGTTTAGAATTCAGTTATGCGGTACAATAGTCATAGTTATTGTGACTGGCAGTTGCTACTTACAAGCAATAGCGAGGCATTTTCAGTCCCACAACGCCAGCAACGCATGCACCTAATAAGAAAGCGCTTACAAATAAGACTATGTCGCGTTTCAGAGCTTTTCGAACCGGTGTTTATGCCGATTTGAATTTGTAAAGTGTCATCCATCTTGATCCGTTGCCGATTACTGTTATCAAGTGCTGTATGCCGGGTGAGGACCTTCGCAAAGGCTTGTCGAAGAGCACAACTTCCTCGGCATAATTCCCATGCGTGCTTATCGTACACAACCGGCAATCCACTGGCTACCTATCACAAGGCAGCAAAATTCAAAGCCATCCAGAAGCAGCAAATAAAAGAAAATGACGTAGTACCATGTAACTGTCGCCGACGGTTTCCACCTTGTACACCCGAAAGGCGCTCAGTGCTTTGTCGAATTGTCCAAATAACTCGTTCAGGAATATTGTCACCACAACAGGGGATTCCTTCTGATATGCTGAAAACTCGGAAAAGCCCGGCAGATAACTGAACATGATGCTGACACTCGCAAAATTTTCCGGCTGGATCTCTTCGCCCGACTTTAGTCTCCGGATTATTTCTCTACAACGAGCAACATAACCTTGCCCGAGACGGTACAGTAATTAAGACTTGTAAACGAGTTCTGTTTTACATTGGTAGCATTTCCTGAAGCAGCTCGTCGCATAGTCGACGTTCGTTTAGCAGCTCTTGTGAGCGCTCGGCCACGGCTTGTTCTAGTTGGCCTGTGTATTTTTCGATGCGCTTCATAAAAACCTCTACAACGCTGTGACCTGTGTCATCTCCAGTATTCAGCTCCTTCATAACCGCTCGAATACGCTGAATCGTTGGGCGCTTACTCGGATCGCCGTTTAAGCAGGCCGAAATGGTCATGTGTAACCGCATACGCGCTTGACTCCGTTTGCTGTTGCGATGCTTCGGTATTTCGTGGCGCACTGTTGTGTATCTACGGTCGGCAGTATTAATGGTCACTCTGATCCTTTTCCCCGACATTGTTGACGTTCGAACCCGGTCTTCTGGTTGACTTGTACCGGTAGCGTGCTTTCCCGCGGGTGTTTCTTGTTCCATGTAGTAATCGAGAAAATACTGAAAGATCTTACTTAACGAGTACATATCTGCAGACTGCGTGTTCAGGGCATGAATGACCAGTGCAACCATATCGTTACACTGCGAACTGTATAGGAATCCTTGCAGCTCCGGAGTGCACCACTTCGCTAGATAATCTTTGTTAAACGCTTTGGTAGCTTCTGTACAAGGCCGAGATACCAGATCGGGTAGGTTGTTTGCTGACGGACTACTACTTAAGCAGAAGCGGCGATCGGTACCAAAGATGTCGTATATTCCAACGCAAGCCAGCTTAAGCGACAACCTTTTGTCCACTAAACACACTTCAGGTCGCAGGTGACCGTGACGATGTAGCGGAGATGTGTGGACCAGAAAGATAGCCTAGTAAAGAGAATAAGATCTGACTTCTTAATAAATAATGGTTTACTGATCAGCGTCGATAAACCTGTGTGAGGTCCATAAACAACGACGTCAGCATATCCCAGTCCAAACGAACATTGCTCCTTATTAGATCCGCAATGTTCCCTCGGTGGCAATATTCACTCAAAACGATGGCACAGACGCCCGGTTCATCGCCGGGGGGTATGGATATTGGACACAAGTGGAAACCAATCACGGTGCTGATGTTCATGTGATGATGAGACAGTTGCCAGACCTTAAACGCCAAAGTAAGAAAAAGTGAATAACCTTTCTCGCTAAACTGTAAAAAGAGCAGGAACTTTTTTTATAAGACAAACCTGTTGTATCAAACGAATAGCTTTGCTGAAAGTGAACAAGAGTGTACTTTCGGCCTCGCTAACGCTTTTTTGCCGGCTAATGCTTTTTCTCCTTGTAACCAGCTGCTCACTGGCCACTCGTAAGAAAAACATTTTGGCAAAAACCATAACGCCTTGATAAAATACAGTCACATGCCGTCCGCCGCCATGCATTTGTAGTAGGGCTATTGCACTGGGATCAGACGAGCAACCGACAAAGTCAGTGCTGTCGGCTTTGAATGGCTTAGCAGGCTCGACTGAATCGGAGATTAGAGTTGATGCTTTGTGGTACCTCACCCCAGTCGAGCGCTGCTGGAGCTGCACCTTTAATTGGCTGACATCCAATTGCCACCTTGCGTCTGCCCCATTTCTCAGTAAACGTCTACAAATGAAAGGTTTTATTTGTCCTTTATAAGTACAGTAATAGTTTTATAGCTAGGAGCAGACACAGTCGTTTGATAGAGACCGACGGTCTGCTGATATTACTGTTCCTAAATCACTATAGTTGTAAGTATATCTTCATATGTATGTTTATAATTCCTGTTATAAATGCATAAGGTGGTAGTACCTCATGAAAAGTGCAACGACGATTAATCCAAAGGACAAACTTCCGCATGTCACCACAAGAGCGAGCATCAGATCATTTTCTAACGCAGAAAGGTTGCTTTAGAAGATTAGTCCATGCTATAAAACGCACCCAGTGTATACTGGATTGAACGAGATTCACCTGTATTAGACGAGCACTTTTGATTTCGAAATCCGCATACAGGTTCATTTTGCGGTGGTTTTCCATCGGGTGTCTTCCACACAAGTTTAAATGATGTATTCCTTATCTCTTGCAAATCTTGGTTTGTATGATCCAGAATCTGAACTCTCTGAAAGATTGCATAACACAAACTTTCTTACTGTAAAGTACGTTTTTTTGCCTCAAATGGAAAGGTTTGCAACTGACCTGAAAGAGTTTGGTTTGTCGGTCAAATATGGATACACAAACCGGCACTTGTCGTTCACCAAAGTCATCAACAAATACACCGCCATTCTCTCCGTCAGCAAACTCTCGATTCAAAAACTTTTCCGCCAACATGCTTCCAAATGGCCACTGTTTCTTGTTTTCGTAATTATAAGGGCCAGCAGCTAAGTTGAAATCCGAGAAGCTTTCATTAATCACGCTGGCCATTACGTGAACTGCGCTGTACGCTGACATGGTTGATTCAGTTGGCTAAAAATTAAGCAGCAAATTTCTGTTACCGACTTAAGCTGGAAGTCTTTTCATCCCGAGCTTACCTTGCTTCCCGGTTTGTATGAGGCGTTGTATTTCTCAATAGTTAAGTTCATAAACTGCGAGCGCAACGAACCGGCCAGCTGCTCATCGTGTTCAATACAGTTGACCACTTGCAATATAGAGGCCTTCGAAAAAGCAGCCAGTGCCACCTACAGTGCAGACACTTCCGTAATCTTATTCGTACTAGAACGGTACAATCATTAGTTAGCTATGCTACTTAATGGCAGATAAGTTAATATCCAGATACCACGTATATAAAAACTGAGTTTTTATATACGTAGTATCTGGATATTAACTTATCTGCCTTGAGCGCATGCAACAACGATTAGATTTTCTATAGTTCTTATGGTCGCTTTTGTTTTACCTCGTCGGAATTCTCTTCGTTTTCTATGGAATTACAATTCTGCTTCGTCGTGGTACTGCAAAATGTCCTGGTAACATTAGCGTTCGGAATTCCACCACTGCTGTGCCATCGCGTTAATCCCAGAGGATTTTCCGGCAGTTCTAAACTGATCCAGACCTGCATATACAGACCTTCTTGTGGTTAAAATTTAAGGAAAAACATATTTCGAACATAAGATTTAGTATTTATAAAGAAAGTATTGACACTGACATAGTGTCACTTACATATTCATGAAAGTTGCCTTGCTGTCGTCTAAATGCTTGGATCTGCAAAAAGCCTTTTTCAAAATCCAGGCTTCTTCTATTAAATCGTTCTTGTACATAAGCTAATAACTATGTAATTTTGTTACAATGCGCTCATATTCACGAGTCGTTAATGCAGATCTTTCTCGGAATGCGAACACGCTGACGGCGACGCCAGCGCAACATGACTGGCAGATTTATGTGGTGATTTGTCAACATCACGTACCAAGATTTCCCGGGTGACCAGAGGCGTGCTGGAGATAATTACCACTGCAATCAAAGTTACGTAACTTCATAAAGATGAAACGTAAACAGCTTGTTTGGCTAACGCAAGCGCAAAGCGTGGTAACAAAAGCTATGAAAAGAGGCTCCTACATGTCATTTAGGGATCATTTTTGAGTCAATTCAGCAGTTCTTTTATGCATTCGCAGCAGACAGCTAACATCGAAAACATGATTAAGAAGGTGCATCCAACAAGCGAAACACTCATAATTAAATTTTTTTTGCTGGTAAACAGAGAAACAAATGTATAAATTTCAAAAGTCAGCACAATACTCGCATAACAAAATTTAATACGAGTACAATAAACAAGAAAACACAGACCGTAGTGCGACATTTGATTGCAGACTTACCGCGACAGTTAAGAGCAATATCAGCAACAATGCGCCCATAGTCGATGGTGTCCGAAGCGTTGTGGGCATAGGCAAATAATTGAAGGCGTCGCCGTTCTGGGCAACCGCTGTCCGATGTCCGACTATTGTGCCGGTGACCTTTCGAACAGTGTCCATTTTCCAAGCTATCATCTGTCTTCATGGTTATTATGAGCTTTTTCAAGTATGAATCTAGTCGTCTGTAGATATTGTAGCTAAAGGGAATTTGCTGGGACACGTCATAAGCCAAGCACACGGTCTGCCAGCTGTAGCGCCGCAACAGCGCTGCCACAATGGATAAATAACCATGGAAGTTAAAGTATCCTAGGGATATACTGGTAGGGTAGCGATCACGATCTCGAAATCCTTTTATTGTTAAGCCACTGCAAACGAAGAAGTGATATTTCCGTTTCAAGCAAAGGCAGCCGCTAACTCGCTGCACTGAGATAATTTTTTTGTATCAATAAATGCAAGGCTGAAAAATCTAACGAGCTTGCTGTCGATAATAATTAGAGTGATTACATAAATCTGATTTACGAAGGCGACCACAAAACTTACGTGAGGATCGTCAGCATATTCCACTCTAAAAGAAAACAGAAAATCTTAGAATTAGCAAATTTGTCTGTGCATTCAGGACCGCGCCTGTCGCTGTTACAAACCTTTTCCAAGCTGTGATAGGGTATCGAAATCCGCACACGCTGAATAAATCAGCACTGGAAGCAGCTGGACCAGCTGCTGGCTTGATCGGGTCTGGTTCATCATTAATGCAGCACTGTTTTGGAAGCTGTAGTTTTGGGTTTTGGCAGAGTACCAAGCCGTCGGAGTCAGATTGCGGTAAAAGAAACGGGAAACATCGTCAACGTAAGCTGGTTGATCTGGACAAGATTTAACATTTTTACTGGCCACATAGACCAAGCGAAAACGAATTCCTTGAACGGCATAAATCTGATTGACTTGATCCAGTCCGACGTCGTAGCCTGGTCCAATAAATGGTATAGACGTTTGGATGTATGCCGGCCAGATACCATAAATCAGAAGCACAACTTCTAATGGATTCACTGATTTGATAATATTAAAGGTTTGCAATCCAGTAGCAGGAAGTTCTGTCATGTTACAACTACATCTCGACAATTCCCAACCGAAGAAGGCAGCACTCATAATTAGCAGTGTTGAAACCATTTTGTGGCTCTCAAACGGGTTTTAACGTCCACGAATCTTATTCTGTTACGGTAATATTACGAGACAATGATACTTAAAATGCAATATACCCATTATCAGTTTTCTACAACAAAATGACAGCTTTATATAAACTCTGCAACACTGACTGGATTATCTGTAACTGGAATACAGTACTTCCTTTCAGTTGAACAACTATTATGAAAAAAGCCTACATAAAATATTGCAGTTGGTACAGCAGATAGCCAGCGTTTATATTACGTAATGCACTGAATGTAGTGTGTTCTGGAGAGACTGGCCAGTGTTGTTCAGCAGCTATAACAAAGCCACAACGAGCGAAACGGCCAGAAAACTGCGCAGTCATGCAAAATAATACGTTAGAGCAATAAGTGAAAATCTTCGTCATGATAGAATATGGCTATTGAATGCCGAGTGAAAGACCTAATAATTTGATGGTGTTTCACGAGGATGTGGATGTTGATGGTATGGTTTGCTTAGATTATTAACAGTTCGGTGCACACTTTCCGTGACGCACACTAGTCGGCTCTACACTTGCTACGGAGGTTGGTTGGTTGCTGGTTGTTATTCTATGCATCCACCCAAAAGGTAGGTTGGAGCTAAGCATTCTGTATGCCGCAGTGCTTCAATCTGTGGTCATATTTTGGTTACTTCCGTTGTCCAGTAAAATTTAATTTTTTAGCAATGCAGTCGGATAAGATAGGCTGTTTAATCCAGCAAATTCTGTAGATACGTATCTTATCTTGTACGCATCATCCGACACACCAGGCAGGAAGAGTGAAGGTTAACAGGTTAACAGGTTAACAGTGCGCTGCAATAAATACATCTATACTATTGTTAAATCAACAAAAGTCTCAATGAGTCCATCGTGAGTTTTGATGTTTCCGGCAGGAAGATTTACAAAGCGGAAAACTTCGTGCTAGGCGAAATCAGTAAATTGCTTTACTTATCACTTTCCTGCCAAATACCTACAGATACAACCTTTGTCTTACATTACAGTTTTGATTTTTGAAGAGAAAAGGTTTAGGTAACGTACTCAATCGATCGAAAGACGCATCTGTAAAGCCTCTGTAACGCCGTACAAATAATAATTACCATTTATTAATACATTAATATACATGTAGCAATCAACCTGCAGTAGTCCAAAAAACAAGCAGGTTTTGCAATAGAAATTTGTACGGCGTTCTCAGAATGAGGTTCGGTCACCACCTACGGAACTGAACTCATCCAGTGTGCACCTAGTTCGATGAAGTTCTATTACACTTTCTGGTAAACCGTTTTTGCGCAACAGTTCCACGGCCACCCGTTCATAAAATATTGGTGATGTATATGCAAAAAGCCAAACACGATGTTTGTGAAGTACCACTCAATGGGGATACTTTTTTCCAGTAGTTCGACAATGATACTCATAATTTGTCGTGGAATCCGCGATCTGCGTTTGTTTACACAATTATCCTTACTGTAAATGTGCGTAATTTATTGCGCACTGTACATAGTGGCTACTCGGGTAGGTTTCCACTGTTAATTGACACTGGAACCATAGCAGGTGTGCTCACACTTGTTTTTCCCTGAACAACCTAATCCCTACATAATTCAGTGAAATATACAGCAAAGTGTTGCGGTTGTTGATACGCATTACAGGTTTTCCATAGCTTGCAAAATCTTTGAATGGAGCCCATATTTTGCCCAGACGTCTGATAATATTGCAGCTGTCGATCACTCAGCTGTCTTCTGACTCCATTTCACACCAGTAACGAAACCTACATGGCAGTTTCTGCTGGTCAGTTTTATAGCGGAAAATTTACGGACGAACTTTCCTTCCATACACGCTTTCGAAATGACCTATCACCGCCACCTAAATAAATAGGCATTTTTGATGCTTTTCGAGTCCCCTTTGCCCTTTTCCAGCTGTTCGTAAGCCTTGATTTGAAATGAATACTGCTACAGTTATTCCCATATCGACAATAAGCCATGGTGCAGTTCACGCAATAGCTGACACGGCGACGGTAAACCGACGCCCATGTCTGCATTATATCGCCAAAAATCTTGGACAAAAGCTGTTGGACAAGGTGCGCCGAAAAATCCGGAAATTGTTTGGGAATCGCAAAAGATTGCACTCTCAGACTCCGAATAAGCCGAATGTCTCGATCGCGCATTCAAACCTGGCCGTACAGTACGATTTACCACCTGGCATATGGTGCTGCTACAGTCATTATTACCCTTGTGAAGTGGCATGGTGGCTTTTTGTTATTCTGTACGCGTTGACTGTTGTGGGACTCGGAATTTGGGGATTGGTTTTCCAGTACGAAAACTGTAAGTCGGAGTTATCATGTACTGTAGGTTGATTCGGTTGAAAGCAGCACTAACATTAGCAGTTATGAGAAATCAATACATGTGTAATTGAATCGATGTACATTTGCTTATTGTTGAACATGTAATATTGGTATCCCGGTCAAACTACAGTATTGTTAAATTACTGTATTGTCAATTACGTATGTATATATTGTCAAATACTATAATTATTTAATGCAGCAACATTGTCAAATATATAAATACAGTATTAGTATCGTGGTCACATTATTGTATTGTCAAATTGCAGTTTATGCAAGCTAAATCTGTTTCAACATTTACTTTATACGTTGGTATTGTATATCAGTCTACTAAATAACGGTTAATCGTGTGCTGAATAGGCAGAGCCGACGCCACCGGCCGCATTTCATACGGAAAGGTCACCATACAAATGCCTGTCCGCCAGGACGAAGTCTTTCAATGGATTGATTCAAAAGAGTGGTCCAGAAACTGGAATTACATTAATCATTTTTCCGAACCTCCGGCAGTTGTTCTGCGCAAACTGTGCTATTCTGTTGCCTGCAACAGCCGTAAGCAATCTAAACTTGCATTCTGTAGCACCAAGAGTAGTGATTCGGTTATAATAAAAATTAAGCTACTCCAATAGCCGATCGCATCCTCATCGCAGTATAATTACAGTAGTAGGGGCTTGTTAAATACTTTAGCACAGCGCTGAACATAAAAGAAGTGCTGGGTTTTATTTTGCAAAACCAAAATACTACGATTATTTGGTTTTTGCAAATCATCTGGTAATTAGTAAGGTTTAGGAATGTTGTTCTTTATTGCCCTGGGGTACAACGTATTATGCGTTAATCAAAAACATGACCACCTCATGCAACATAAAAATTTCGTCGAAGTTTACAAATTGTTTTGTGTGTAATACGTTATTTATTAATTTTTGCTTTTTTTCTTCCAGAATCTGAATACGCATACCAACCCTGTCATCGCTCGCAAATACGCGGATGGCAACGATATTCGATTCTGCAGCTTAAAGCCATTGTGACCATTATTGTTGGTTTATGTCAAATCTTTGGTGTAATTCTTCTCCAACTGTCGGTGTATTACGATCCGTTGTCATCGTTTCATGGATGCCACAGTCCCCGGCATGGCCGGCTGGCATGCTTTTCCAGCTGCGCTGATGGCTTCGGTTGGCTTCTTTTCATCGGAGGATTTCTGGCTTCACCAATTTTTATATTACTCACATCATATGATCTGTACGCATTTCGTACTGTTCTTTCATTGTAAAGTGGTTTCGTTTGGACCCGAAAGTTAACGCAATGTTACCAGCAAAAGAGAAAATATTAATTTTTATAATTCTGCATTACTATTGTCCCATATTACATTTTTATAGACGAAAGCTGTGCAATAAATAATATAGCCCGTACACTCTTGCGGTGGCTGAAAGATGCAATCGATACACGAGTAATATTATAGGTATTTATATCTATATGAGGTACATGTACCGAGTAGTGCATATCTATATATGCATTTGTATGCATATCTATATATGCATTTGTATATACACAGTTGTTATAATTGCACTTGCATGTACTTCTACGGTAATGGTAATATATACATATTATTTTTGGCTTTAACAGTCGCATGGAATGGAGTTACAGTACTGTAATGACACAGGTTTAAGGAACGTAGGGGAGGCGTGGTCAGCGCACCCGGACCGTCGGTCTCTTTGATCTTGAAAGGGGCCGACGTCTCGTGTGCGCTGCCCGGCCCCTGGAGCGTTCCTTAAACCTGTGTCATTACAGTACCCACTAAACCAGTATCGATCGCAGTTTTGCTTGCTGCGTACTAGCTTTAACAGCAACTGTTAACACCATCACATGCCACACATACCATAAATCACCATTAGTGGCAAGACCAAGATTTTCTACCGTACACCATTGCGCTGCAGAGAATAATTTTAGCGATGCTTGGCAATTTTGATGTTGCGCACGGACATTTATGCCCGAAAATGTGGTAAATAAATTTGGTAAATTGTGCCGCGCTGCCGGTTTGTAATTCTTTCTGGATTATTACGATTAATATGTATTCACATTTCGCCGGGTGATTGTTGATGGTGTAAAGTAATTCATCCAAAGTGTAAGTAATTCATCCAAGAGACTGATTCTGTTATCGACACCAGTTGGTCCGCTGTTCGGGAATGATGCGCGATCTACTGGAATTTCTCAAAGCATGCCTCGGAGGGAGCAAGTCTCCACCGCCTGTACAGGACCAACGACCGCGTCCATGGGAACCGCCGCCGTATTGCACGTACTTCGGTGAAAATACGGATAGCATTTTTGCTGTGACACTGTTTAAGGAGCTTGCAAAAGCATCTGACAGTCCCTATCAGAACATCGTTGTTTGTCCACATGCGGTTCAAGTCATCTTGGCGATGCTGTTACCGGGAACGTACAGCGGAGTCTATGTGGGTATAGCGGATCTATTGGACTTCCATATGTCAGAACCCTATCGAGGGCTGATTGTGTCGTTAGACGCGGTGAACGTCAATGGCGCGTTGAACAGTGTCAGTGCCGTATTTTACGACGAAAATTGTTGTTTGGATTCAAAATATCTGGAGATAGTGGAGCAATTAACCGTGGTTCGTACGAGAGAGACACCGATCTATCTCAATAAAAATGAAGATTACCGATATTCCGATGTGCAGCATCATTACACACCTTACAAGTCAATCCAGTGCGAGTTTATTCCAGTGTCGTTTCGAGATGATTTAGCGAAAGCGACAGAAATTATCAACCACTTTGGAACGGAGAAACCGGAGAACAGATTTCCGGATTTGCTGGATGAACGCCGACCGGATGTCACGATGATCCTGCTGAATAAGGTTGAGTTTTCCGGACAGTGGGAAGAGCCCTTTTACCCCGGGTACACTGAAAATGAAACATTCCACTGCGCCGATGGTGCCAAGAAAATCGTGGCCTTCATGACGCGAAAATACGGTTTCGAGCGTTGCTACAATCTTCGGCCGGACAGCACGCGACCTGTTAACATCAGGGACCCGCAGGTGGTCCTTCTGGATATCGTCGGGAGAAAATTCAGTGTAATGATTGTTTTACCAGGTGAAGACAGTGGTGGGATAGCAGCACTGGAAAAGAAAATGACGCTTGACAGTCTGCAGTATTGGCGACAAGAGAGCATGCTGCCTTGCCACTCCTGCGGCAATGTGTATATTGTTCTTCCCAGATTTCGTATCCGTTACGACGCCGATTTGAAAATGTGCATGCAGTCGATTGGATTACAAGAAATGTTCTTGCCTTCCAGGACGTCGTTTTCGGATATCCTCAGCAGCGAAGGACCGATAAAAGCTGACGAATTTAAACAGGAGGTTACCTTAGGTAAGAACTATGATGTATGACAAATAAAATACTAGTAATCGCTTCGTTTTAACGCGAAAAATGTCATGTTCTATCTGTACGTAACTGATTATTATACTTCTGTATCGAATATCTGGCTCTGCTGATGCGCCTGTGGGGTGACAGTCCGGATCAAATTTTTGCTAATGCGATTTCCAGAACTGGACGAATACGGAATCAAAACGGCGCCATGTACCGGTAGTTTGAAAGAACCAACGATGCTCACTTATCCAAACTTCGTGGTTAATCGTCCCTTCCTCGTCGTCATCTGGAACGAACCGGCCAGCGTGCCGGTCTACTTTGCACGAATTATGGATCCTACTGCGTAACCGCACTGTATCGCGCGGCATCAGATTTGTGGTAGTACCCGGTAGTCCGAATATGCAATCATCAAAATAAGAACATTACTGCTTGCACACAAAACCGTATTCATGTTCGCCACTGTTTTTAATGCTTTAATGTTGGCTTACTTCAATTTTTTTTACTAATCCCTATTACATTGGTAGACTGTACTTACGCAAACTGTAACAGCTGCAGTTTATTGACGTTAATATTTATTGTCGGAGCGTATAAATGCATGGATCTGCTATCGTTAATAAGCGCTCTTGCAGTTAAAAACACAGATCAGAATACGAACCTTTAATAAGTATCGGAATCGGATACAAACTCAGTACCAAAAACAAAACATAGATCTAGATCTCTAAACACACTTTTTAGATTTTGGCACTGGTTTAGTGATTCTTGTTTCCGTGTTTCATTAGTCAGTTTTTCCAGTTTTTTTTTACACAAACGAAAACAGTGATGACAGTTTCGGTGGTTTCATATATTGTGTTACTGGCGACGAATTAGTGAATTGTTGCGCTCACTTGCCGCAACATTTCGTATGTTAACTTAGCCATACAGATGTTACGTTTTGTCCCAAGACTCCCAGCTCATGCACACTCTCGATTTTAGTAAATGTTGTGGATTTTGTACGAGCGAGAGCGACAGATAGCACTGTACCTATGTAAAATCAGCCTGTGCTTGCTGCACTACTGTTGCAAACTGATTTTATAAAAATAATGTGGACCCCCGGAGCCGAAGCATTCTCACTCTCTGTAAGGCTGTATATAAGCTTGTTCTCACCTCAGAGTCAACACTTTGGAAATGAGCTGTGGCAGGATCCGAGGGCTGAGCGAAGATTCCAAAAGGACCGGAAGGGAAGTAGTTCCGGTACTTTCATCCAAACCACCCGTGCTTCCGGAAAAATTTTTACCGACGAACGGTTGTCGGTAAAAGTTAGGATAACAAAATTAATTATCAGCGTAATGGATTTCATTCATTCCAACCACCTCAATTGTACAAAAAGCATAAGCGAAACCATTATGTTCCTGGCAAATGTGATGTGCAACGGATGTTTGCGCAGGAAATTGAACTGCAAAACATAATTAACCGGAAGCAACAAAATCAGCAGCCAGAGTGAATTTTTGCACAATTATTTATTTATCGACAAATGTTAAGTGCATATGAAAATTCTGTGCCGCCCATCATTAAGTGTTATCGATCATTTCGCAGTTGGTATTTTTCTTTACGCATCTCGTGTTAGTCTCGTTAGCAGAGTCGAGCATAAAATGCTTCCAGTCGTACATTTTCAGAGCCTGGATAATTTGATAGAATCATCTTCTACAATCTCGCGGAAATTGCGAAATCTCTTTTGTGTTTGGGAGCAGATACTTTATCATTGCCACCCACGCGTTGTGCGGGCTATCTTTGGAAATTTACGGTCTACTACTCTGTAGGTAAAATCGCGTGAATATTATACCATTTTTTTGGCCAGGGTTAATAAGGGCCGACGTGATGCCGTCCATATCGGTTAACGTTGCAACGCATCAGAAGCCGAAGCCACAGGCTGGAGACGGCAGTCATGCTCTCTGGAAGTCAGCTAAAGCCGGTGTATGCAAAACGCGAGAAAAAGCGCGCCGGAAGGCCATCCGAATATTCGGAGACAACAACGATTCGAAGAAAACTGACCCAAGCGTAACGCAGACTGAGACAGCTGTTATGCCGTTTATACCATCTGGCGTGCGGAAATGCTGCTGTGTCTTCGCGGAATGCTGCGCCTGGGCCTGTTGTGTGTTAATGGTCCTGAACATTGTGCCGCTCTTATCCTTGGGAATTTGGGGACTTAAGTTTCAATCCCGAATTTGTACGTTCAGATTACTAACTAATTGCCTACACCGTGCAAATGACCGGTTTCTCACTTGCGCGTTTTCTAATTAAAGCTTTTCTACGATTTTTACAGCCTTTGAATCAACTTTGCAAATAACTTTCATTCATAAAACACTCGACGCTCGCTGACCTTTAAAAAATGAATACGTTTTATTCGGTTGGATTTGCTTTATGATCATGGCATAATCAATGTACGTGGTTTCTTTAGTGCGCTCTGGCGATTTTACTACAGATATTTTGTGGGTACTTTTTTTTAAAACCGCCACTCAACAGTCGACTAATCTTTAGGTTCCCCAGATGTAAGTGGTCGGATTTCTACTGGGAATGTCTCGATGCAAGTTCCTGTAGAACAGGACGACGTATTTAAATGGCTGGACTTCAACCCGGAACAGAAAGGCGCGGCTGGTGTTCTGCATGCTTGGGATCGTCCGGAAACTGTTTTGCGCAAACTCTGTTTTGCCGTTGACTGCGAATGGGGTACATAATAATACTATGATGTATTAGAATGCCATTATTTACTTGTATATTCTACTTATATTCTGTGCGCATATGTGATATTTAAAAGGCGATAAGCGAAGCTGAATTTGGGGTACTAAATCTGGTTTACCCGGAAGTCGCGCTTTTTCTTGAAACCTACGCTTTAAGCTTTTAATAATGCAGAAATATGTACAGAATACGTATGTTCAGTTTGAAACGTTTTGCGCGCAGAAACGTACGATGATTCCAACTGACCAGTGAGTTCCCAGCTCAAGAAATAAGTCGGCATTATCGGTTTTCTTGGGTTATAGAAGACTCTCATAGTCGACTCTTGCCACCAACTTGTAAACGCATAATCGGATGGCAAAATGCGTGGCGATTGTGGGATATCTCGATCATGGCGATAGTCTGCGGCTCATTCCAAATCATGGGTTTGCTGCTCCTCGCCGTGGAGGAGGTTTGCGGTAGCGGTGGGGTTGGACTGTGGTTCTTCATGGTCGGCTTTTTACTTTCGCTGCTGTACTATTACCTTATAGCGAACGATTTGTTCATTATCGTTAAAGCACTATCCTGGTAAAAATCTACTTATGCTTCTATCCATAATGATATCAAACCGGCTGTTTTTGTCCATGCTTGTCTTCTAAATGTGCAGATGTCAGAATAATTATTAGATGTACCTATCTGTATATCGAGAATCGGGATTTTTCTGTATTTACACAGCGACATATTTTTAAGCAATTTCGATTCTCAGCATGCGGCCATATTGTCATGGTTATGTACCGTAGATACGGTGCTTTTACAAGTAAAACAGAAGGCTGCTCTTAAGTAAATCGCTTATCAGAATTTCGCTAGCATACGGATACATCCTTTTGAATTTGATAAAATGATTCTACGTCTATTGCCAGCGTCGATCAATCAGGGATTTAAAGCTTACTAGCGATCATAAAATAATGCACGGGAATACTCGCGCGACTTGATTACTATTGAAAGTACGTACGTACTGAATCTCTCGGCTTCCGCTACAATCCGCTTAGCTACTCTGTATTTGCAACAACTTCTAATTTTTAAACGACAGTCTTACACGATGAATAGGGGTTACCTGAATTTGCAGTAGAAATCTGCGAAACACTGTCGCGGGCATAGTAGTCACAACTCATATCATGGGATCAATTTTCCCACGCGGAAAGGGGCAACGGGAGACTAGCTCTATGGAATTCGACCAAAACCCAGGCGTGCGAAGTGCGGGAAATAGGTGGCTTTTTAATTTCGCTTGTTTATTTTTACGTAATATCGAGCGATCTTTACATTTACATCCATGCACTTTCCTGGTAAAAATTCCGTTATGTTTTTAATTTTGTCTTGTTACTTTTGTCTTGTTGCCTAAGCTGCTCAAGAAAATGTCAATGCACATAATCACGTATCTAAATAGAACAGAAATCTTATTCTGAAAAAATGTCGAGATATTCATAATCATACATGGCTATCAACGCCCTTTTGTAGTGCTTTAAAATACTTATTTGCAAAATTGCATCTACAAGGTTACTGTAGAGCTTTTGTTGTATTGTTCAGTGCCAAATGTTACGGCCAGTGTGCCTGCTTTTTTTTGTTGACCTTTATATACCTTGACGATTTGTTTTATTGCAGAGACAATTAAAGAATTATCCTGCTTGAATGAATAAAATTGCTACCGAAGTGGGACGCCTTTTCTCATTCGTAGAATAGCAGTGCGTCGGGAGAATGTCATATTTAGTAACGATGTGTCGGGAGAATATCAGATTTAGTACAAAATTTAATGCAGATTAAGTTTATGTTACCATAATTGTGTGTAACGCGGTACTTGTACAAGTACTCGTATGTATTCTGTAAATTATATGGCCCTATCTCTTATTAGAATGTTGCAAGCACAGCAATACATCCTTTGAATTTGAATAAAAAGATATTACGTCTAGTGCCAGGGTCGGCCGTTCAGGGAATTAAAGCTTATTATTGATCATAAAATACTGAACGGGAATCTCCTGCTAGTTGACTGCTACGATAGCGCAGGCATTGAATCTCTACCCGTAGGCTTTCGCTACGATCCGCTTCTGTTCAACAACTACGGTAACTCTTTAAACGATAATCTCACTACATATACGAATATGTTACCTAAATCTGCATGAAAAACGTGCCGGAAAACACTCTCGTGTGTGGAATAGTCACAACGCATAGCAGGGGACGTGTAAACGTGTAAGTTATTGATTTACTAAGGGGATACTCTATTGACACCGGTAAGTAACTTATTCGAAAACAGGTTTTAAAATTAGTACAGTACCAGTCAAATAGGTTCAGAGTATGTCTGCTAAGAAACAAACTGGGAAGAAGCTTTAAGACAAAAAATATTTAGGAAAAATTAATAAAAATTATATACAGATTATGCATAAATGTATTGGATATATGCCGAAGAATTGATGCACCCTTACAATATAAATAATGACATCGGTGTATGGTACGCCGAGACAATTATAGATGTACAGCCATACGGTATAGGATTCGTGTTAACACAGCTGCGCAAATAAAAAGGCTGGTCACGGAAAGTGTTGTGTGACTGTTTTCCCGGAATCTTTATAGTTTTTCTTAACAACGCTAAAAATGTTAGAAGGGATTTAACTGGCATGAAAAACATTTAAAACAACACCAAGTTGCTCTGTAGTTGCGGCTGTTTTATACGTAGGACGTTATATATGTTATAGTATCCTGTTATTGTGGGTGTAAAAGTTTGAGTTACCTTTAAACATTTAAATAACAGTTTTTGCAAATTTAAAATTTCATGATGTTGTTCTAGTGCAGTTGCATTGAGAACGTTTACTCGGCTGAGTGAAGTCTGCAATACAATCTAAAAATCGTCGTATGCATACTGTATAACAGCGGTGAAAAAAACATACAACACGGATGTGAGCGGATAAACTGAATATTTATAATGTGACCCTGATGCAGCAAGATTCCCAGCCGATACCGCGGTTTTGGCATTTACTTATTTATTGTTATCCCAATCGATTGTTGAAAAGGGCAAACTGACTGTGGCCCACCGCGAATGTCTGATGTTAGCCTGTTATGCAGTAACCGACAATCGATTTCAGTTGTTGGCGGAGCACAACGTGCAATATTTTCTGTCCCGGATAGGATGACCGATCTCTCATAGGTTTACTCAAGTTAAGTTAACCAAAAAGGTATTCTTTGTATTTTAAAACAAAACACGTTTTTTGCAGTAGTTTGTGACTAGCGGCACAGTGATGTCGAAAGCGGAAAGTGATGACGAAACGCATCGGAATATGATGCCAGATATTGCAGGTGGAGAACGTGCTTCAGAACATTTTATACGAATGTATGCAAACAAGATGGAAACAATGTGCAAAAAAGTCGGCCAAGTATTCTGGAACAAATCCCGATTCATGCTACAATCTATCCAGAATTGTGGGGGTTTTCTTATTGAATACTATGTTCGTATCTGCGTTGTGATGGCGATCATTAGCATTGTGGCACCCGTGGCAATGGGAATTTGGGGACTAAATTATCAGTCTCGGCACTGTAAGTATTACCAATCTGGAAACATCGCAAATTTTATTCGATAAATGCTGTCATTTCTACATTCATTTAATGCGCCTTCCGTATGGTTATATCACAACACTCGTATAGTAATTCAACGGTTATTAAAAACGAGATAGCATATAGCGCGCTTTAAGTCATTAGTGACCTTTGGCTATACAGTTTAGAGAAAAGTGCCCCTATAATGTTGTTTCTCTTACCACACACTAATAATATTTTTCATGAATTCTTCGATATTTGTAGCAGCCGGTAAGTTTTTTTTATGTTTGAAACATCCAGTTACTTATTCGTGGCCAAGAGTTTTGCGGCGCAAATTCTGTTAAAAACTTGAACGAAAAAATGACAGCGCTGGATCACTAACTGACAAAATACGGGACACAAAAAGTTTTAAAATCTTTGCATTTTCAGTAATCTTGAATACGTGGGTGAGCTGTAGCTTAAAATTTACAGTGAAAGCGATCTACAAATGCAAGTACAAGACATACGGAAGTATAGATGTAAGTTGAAAAATTTTTCAGGTTCGCCGGATGACAGTGGCCGCATTACGTCTGGGAATGTCAGCATGCAGGCTCCCGTCGATCAAGATGACATCTTTAAATGGGTTAGTCCATGGGAAACATGGCCGGACTGCGATGAACTGCAGCATTCAGATCGTCCGGAAACAGTGTTGCGCAAGCTCTGCTTTGGCGTTGTCTGCGAAATGGGTAGATTAAATAATCAAAGATTCTCTAATATTATACAATTAAAATGTGCAGTCTGTTGGTTTTGTTTTGTAATCCGTTTTCCCTTCTTGACAGTTCTTGTAGAGCAGTAAGCTAAAATATTCCCGTTTATTTAAATTAACCACTCATTCCATACTTATGACTCGATTTCCTTGCATCATAGAGGTGGCCCACACCCAGACAATATTGTAAACGTATAGTTGGATGGAGAAAGACGGAGCCCCTTTGGAGAATGTCGGTTTTGGCAATAAGCGGCGGCGTCTTTCAGCTTGTAGGTTTGCTGACTGTGCTCGCCGGCGGAGTTGAGCGGTCTGGGTGGGTTGCGGTTGGATGCTTCGTTTTCTTAATCGCCTTTATAATGTCGTGGACTTACTTATCCATTGTAGCGAGTAAACTCCACATTCTCATCAGTGCGATTTCTTGGTAGAAATGAAGATTTTATCAGCCTTTGCATTTGATGAAATATCCTTGGCGGCCTTGCTTATTGGTGTACTTTTATTAAATATCTGATATTGATATTTGTTTTAATATTTCGCTTCCTTACGATGATTTATTAAGATTTTGAACATGCTGTGTTTGAGTCATTATTTATAAGCTGTTCATGCATACTTTATTATGTCTACTTCAACTTTTCTTCCTACAAAATTAAGTACAATAGAAGCAACGTTTTTGCACTTTTGCGCTCGGCTGTCGTGCTCCCGGTGGAGCCGTTCAGGGAACAGCTCCACCGGGAGCAAATTAAGATTATTTCATTTATTTATTTTGTTCTCAGACTGCACGTGACTGTTGTTTGCTAATGCCGTCTGGGGCGATGTTCTGTTGATTGTTTCTTAATTTGCTATGCGCCCGGAATTTTCCGGGCGCACGGACGTGATCTAAAACATTTTTGTCGAACCGAAAGACTCGTGAATAGAAGGAACGCGTCGCTGAAATATCTTTTTGCCCTAAATAGGGAGTAAAATTTGCGCACAAAGGATTCGGTTTCTGACGAGTACAACCGTAAAAAAGCGGCGGCAAAAGATAGCAGAGTAAGTACGTAGTAGCTGTACTTCATCGAACAAACATATTAAACAATACTAGTTGACCCCGCGCAAACTGCGCGGAATGAATCGGCGATGAACTGAATCTTGGAAAAACCACAAACCTACGATTACAAATTTATCTTTAGTAATACTGAGCGAAGCGTAGAACAATAATAAATCACTTTTATTGGCATGAGAATTTGGCCAATACCTACTTCGTTGGCTATATTTGGATGGCTATTGTCTATTATTATTTTTTAAACATACATTTCTTACACAATCTCAAGAAACTTCACTTATTACACAGCATCAACTGACTCATGCGGTTGGCTATTATAAATCATACTACTCTAGGCTTTGGTCATACTGTATTGACAGTCCACCAGTACCAGTGCCACTATTGTACGACTACCAGCACCAATACCATTAATTAACTAGAATTACCCCAACAAATCATACAAGGATTTTTCAAAAGTGACAAATTTTTCAACCTAGCCAAAAAAACTTAAGATGGTTTAAAGCCTTAACCAGGCTTAAAACTGAGTTATGAGCACCCACGACAGGTTAATAGAAAAGGTTACAAAACTTAAATGCTTAAGAAAAAAGGAAGCATAATACTATTTATACTTAAGTTAATCAATGCAGTGAGTGTATAACGGAAATCAAATGATACCATTATACTTCCGATATAATGAACCGGAGAAAGTATGTGTACGAAGAAAGAATGTATACGGAGAAAGAATGATTTCAAAAGGTAAACAAGGTAAACAAGGTAAACAAGGTAAACAAGGTTTCCGCAAGGTAAACATTTACTGGGAGCAGCGAATTTCGCCACTCGAGTGGACTTTCGTGTATTTGTTTATTTATCGACTACTGCATAGTTGCACTAACATCATCCGGATCTGTGGCATACCATGAGTGTTATCGATCATGTCTCATTTGGTGTTTGCTTACACTTAACACCCCGGTGCCAGGATCGTTAACACAGCCTAGCATTCTCAGTGCATGGATTATAATTTGACGGACCTTCTAGGTACGTATACGGTATAATCTTACGGAAAATGGCAGAATTTCCTTATATTAAATAATAAATGCTTGTAATTTTGCCAGTATTCGTTGACGCAGGACACAGAGATGCCTTCAACTGCAATAATTAACAGTATAACCCTTCAAAAACCGAAGCCAGAGACTGGCGATAACAGACGAGGATTATGGAATTCAGTCAAAGGCTACGCGTGCAAAGTGCAGGAAATGGCCTATAGCAAGGTCTGCAGAATATTTAAGGAAGACAAGAAATCGGAAGAAACTGGTCCGAACCGCGTGCAGATGGACATAATGCGATGCATACCATCTGGTGTGCGGAGCTGCTGCAGCGTTTTTGCTGAAGGCTGCGCCTGGATCTGTTGCTTGTTGATGGTCCTTAACGTTGTGCCCGCCATTGGAATGGGTATCTGGGGACTTAATTATCAAGCTCGACACTGTGCGTTCAGTTAAGCAAATCAGCACTGTGCAAACTGTTCGTTTTTGCTTACATTCTTTCCCTGTGAGGTCATCCTGGCAGGAGGACGGCCTTCTTTACATTAAGCGTTACCGTGCAATAGCAGATGCTCGTTAAATTCGCTGACCTTTAAAAAAGCAACGCATTGCTCATGTTACTTCGCTTCGCTGAAATGCACTGTACGTATACTTTGTAGTAGTGTAACGTGAGTTGTTATGAAATCGCCTGCACTACTCGGCTGCATTAGCAAGTTTTAATATTCCAAGAATCCAGTTGAATGATCTTTAGGTACGCCGGATTCCAGCGGTCGGATTACTGCAGGAAATGTCAGCATGGAAGCTCCTGTCAGGCAGAGTGATGTATTTAAATGGCTTGACCCAACGAATGGACTGGATGATGCTGACACTCTGCATGCATGGGATCGCCCGGAGACTGTTTTGCGCAAACTTTGCTTTGAAGTGGTTTGCGAACATGGTAAATATAATTAAATACGCGTGTCTGATGCTTATGAAACGTGGTTGGCGAAGCTAAACATTATTACTCTAGATACAGATATAGGAGTATATTTATATAGAAGGTATAGAAGTACTGATATGCTGCAGTGAAGAGCGACCAAACGTCCATCGTTTCATTTAGTTTCAAAACGTTATTGCACGTTTTGCTGCTCATAACTTATTTCCATCCAAATTGTACCGATCTTGTTTTTAAATCACAGATGAAAAGCACGGCCAGTTTATACAGACGCTATGTATGCGCGTAATCGGCTGGAAAGAAGCGTCGCACCTGTGGGGAGCATCCGTCGCCGTAATAGTCTGCGGCGCTTCTCAGATCATGGGTATGGTTATCCTTGCGTTGGAGAAGTACTGCGGTGGCGCTATGGCTGGACTGTGGTTATTTTTTATTGGCTTCGCAATTTCGCTGATTTACTATTGCCTCATAGCGGGCGAAATCCACATTTACATCAAAGCACTTTCCTGGTAGAAATCCAGCAATGTTTTTGATATTGTTTTGCTAATTTGCTTAAGTGTCATGCACATCAGTCTGTACCTATGTAAATAGCACAAGAAACTTTATTCGGAAAGGATGTTGATGTACATGTACAATGCCTTTGTTTAAAGCTCTAAAATATGTTCGAAAAATTCTATTTACAACGTTAGTGTACATGCAGCTTTTATTTACAGTGCAAGGTACGTCAGAGCTTCACACTCACAGAAGCACTGCAAACACACTTTTCCGAACACACAACTCTCAGTGGTTGTAGATAATTTAATAAAACGAATTACGGCATCATATGGCAGCGTCGAAATTTCAGAAGCAAATTAAACATAGCATTATGTCATGAGCGACGATTGAGCGTTAAAAAATGATAATAGGATGACTAATTGACGATTCTCGCCAGGATGGTACCCTGTGGCGGTTGGCAGCCGTGCGCCTACGGTGCGCCGGGAAGTCATCGTAGGCCCATAACAACAAGCGCTTATCCCGGCACTTTTTAAACAGCGCGCGTTCGCAAACCATGTTGTTGGTTAATTGGGCAGATACATGAAAATTTACAAAAAACCATCCTCTGCAAACGAGGAAAAAATGTGTGATAAAAATGTTTACGGTATTTTTAAATTTAGCGCTGGCGTTGTGGCCACTTCAATGCATTACCGCCTCGAAAATTCTAGCACACGAACAGAAACAGAGCGAATGCATAATTCTCCTGTTGGCGCACTCCAAAATCCCTGTTTGTTAGTGACGTCAAAATGACACACTGCCAGTCTGCAGTCTCGACGAGAATCACGAATACTCTTGCGCAGAACACTCTTGCGCGATGCGTTGAAACTGCCTGTTAGTTTCTCTCGTTCGTACTCGTACTCTGTACAGTAGATGTTCATGTGCAAAAATGGCTTCGACATTCTTTAGTTGTCCTTTAGCAGGGCAAAAGCATAAGGACCAAACAACTGCCAGTAAAACCGGAAAAGCTGTCAAAAATATGCAAATAAAAGCTTGTGTGTTGTCGCTCTGTACCCAATGATTATGCTGGATTAGCCTCGATAGGCAGAAATCTGCAATACAGTCTAAAAGCTACCCTACTGTGTAGTGTATAGAAGCAGTACAATAATGTTCTATGTGACCTGATGCAGCAGAATTCATTACCGGCGCAAGTTTTTACAAGTATTTACTTACTGGCAATTGGAGAGTTTTATTATACTTATTACCATCGATTTTTGGCGTCAACGTAAGCAAAAAATTTTGTTCGACTCACCTGAGTATTGTCGATTTACAGAAGGCAGCGACCATTAACTGTATTTCGGCACAATCTTTAATAATTTCTCGTCTGGACAACACGACGTATTGTCCATGACTTTATTTATATTAATTTACCAAAATGTAGTTCTTTACGGTTTAGTGGAAGGCACATATTTTCCGCAGTAACCATTATTAACCGATCAAGTTATGCCGAAAGCGGCAAGGGAGAATGGAGTGCGGCAAAAGTAAGGTGACAGAAGCGAAGATGAAGCCCGCGTTTCACGACCTTTTATCCAAATTATTGATACCGGATAACAAATAACACGCCGCAAAACCGGCAAAATATTTCAGGGCAAATTATGGATCATTCTACTCTGCACTTAGCATTCAGAAGTCCTGTGGTTTCTTCATCCGATGCAGTGTTGGTAACAGAACCTCGCTGATGGCATTCAATGTTGAAGTTGAACTCGCACTGGCAATAGAAATGCGGAATCTGCGCTACTGACTCACTACCAATCTCGACACTGTAATTTTATCAAGCAGGCTCGTGAATTACAATTATCGACCGAAGCGTAGCGAAGGTCCTCTATGTTCAGCGTTAATGAAAAATGTGGTGTCTGTCGGTCACCGCCACCTAATGCACGTGCGCACGGTCACCGTACTGCCATTCGCACATGCGCGCTCGCTGTATATACTCAAGCCGCATGGAAAATGTGGTGTCTGTCGGTCACCGCCACCTAATGCACGTGCGCACGGTCACCGTACTGCCATCTGCACATGCGCGCTGGCCGTATATACTCAAGCCGCATGGAAAATGTGGTGTCTGTCGGTCACCGCCACCTAATGCACGTGCGCACGGTCACCGTACTGCCATTTGCACATGCGCGCTGGCCGTATATACTCAAGCCGCATGGAAAATGTGGTGTCTGTCGGTCACCGCCACCTAATGCACGTGCGCACGGTCACCGTACTGCCATTTGCACATGCGCACTGGCCGTATATACTCAAGCCGCATGGAAAATGTCGTGTCTGTCGGTCACCGCCACCTAATGCACGTGCGCACGGTCACCGTACTGCCATTTGCACATGCGCGCTGGCCGTATACACTCAGGCCGCATGGAAAATGTGGTTTCTGTCGGTCACTACCACCTAATGCACGAATGTAAGGTTATTCTACTTTAAAAGGTTATTGTATGCTGGCCCTAGGTACTCATGCAAACTGTTACGTTCGTCGGACGTTTCCACTTTCCACCCACTACACTGGTGCGCGGAAGCCGTACAGACTCTAGGCTTATCGAATTTTCCCAAAAATACATATTAATTTTAGTGCACCATATACTGTTGTATTCATGGAATCGGTGTAAAAAAACGTTTTATACCGTATACAATTAACTACCAACATTTATGAACAATAATTATCCCATACGTCACCGGTGCACGAGAACACAAGTGTGCACCGAACACTGGTGGATAAATAACTTTATTTTACTCTTTACCCTACGCTTAGGTCATGCAGTGCCCGCAAAAGGCGAGTGCACTTTCCTAGTAATTATGGTATGGCTATCCTTGTTTGCGTCTTCCACGCTTGACCAGCGAGATGGGTTTCGTTGTACCGCTAACGCTATATGAACAAACAATTTTGTGAAGTTGTATGCCAAAAAAACGTAAAACATCAACTTCTCGTTAATTTTCCGTTTGATAAATATCGAAGCAAACGCAAAACTATAAACGCTTTACGGTGTGAAAATTGTTTTTTTATTTTCATACGAAGAAAAAGTCAGATAAAGCAATTAATGAAGTAGCAAATACCGCGTATATGCTCAAGAAACGAGAACTCCCCAAACGTAAAGCAATAGAATAAGTAGCAGACTGGGCAGTATACGAGTACTCCCACTTAGGTATAGAAGTACTTCGATTTGCTCCGTCATGGGATCACTTATACTTTACGGTGCAGCTATCAGATCACTCAGCACTCGATATCAGATCAGCAAGTTTTTCAAACGACATTAGGGTGGGCTCTAATTACGGGGGGCGGCTTGTATTATGAGGTGGGGGGGGGGTTCAAATTCGATAATTGCGGTAATAAAAATTTGAATAAAATCTGTTACTTCCCGGACGTTTCCTTACATTGATACAGTACAATGAATACATTTTCCGCATTGCAGTAATCGCACTATGACTGCAGTCTTTTGTGGGACCCCAGGTTTTCATTGTTGTGGCGGACAGTCTTAAAGGCCAACAGAAAAAATTAGACACTTAGGGGCCGTGCCCGTAACATTCGACATTGTACAATATGGCACCTAACATGTTATGTACCGCACACATTCCGAACAACGTCTGGTCGCACCAAGAGACATCTACATTATAATTAGGTAACCGTACCGCGACCACATAAAAAATCCATTCTGGAAAGCATTATTCACTGCGGCAATGGGAATTTGGGGACTGCATTATCAATACCGACACTGTAAGTTTGTCCGGCGAAACCGTAAATGGGAAGTAACAGATTTTATTCAAATTTTGTTTTGGTTATGCGTGCTTCTAACAGTAAGCTAGCCCTTTTCGCGTCCGATCACTTCGGCCGCGTTACATTTCGGCAGCACAGGTTCACTTCGGCCAACGTTCATTTCGGCCGTGGCTCACTTCGGCCGACACTTAATTCGGCCAAAGCTCATTTCGGCAGCTGGACATTTCGACCATTTTAGGTTTTCTTGGTTTTCCTTATGTTTCTTAGGTTTCTAAAGTTTCTTAAACGCGGCCCTTCGCTGTCACTTTTTTTGATTCTACGGTTTAAAGTTTCCGACAAATTTCTATCGAAAGTAACGTTTTGTAAATTATTCCAAAATGGGCGTCGGCCGAAATGTACTATGGCCGAAGTGATCGGCGGCCGAACTGAATGACGGCCGAACTGAATGACGGCCGAAGTGAATGGCGGCCGAAAAACTTTGGCCGAAATAAACGCGGCCGAAATGAAAACGGCCGAAGTGATCGGTAGCCTGCCCGCAGAAGGAAATCTAGGAATATTGAACTCTTTTTCAAAAGTATCTCCTTTAGGTTCGCCGGATATTAATGGCCGTATTACGTCTGGAAATGTCAGCATGCAGGCTCCTGTCGAGCAAGAGGATGTCTTTAAATGGATAAGTCCAGAACAAGAAATGCAGGATTACCCGGACTTTGATAACCTGCAATACTCAGATCGTCCCGAAACCATTTTGCGCAAACTCTGCTATTCCGTTGTCTGCCAACCGAGTAGGTTTTAGTGTTTTAGTAATAACAAATTCCAACGATACAGCTCATTATAGACTTACGATGTATTATTTTTTTCCGACTACCGAGGTTTTATTCAAAGATGAGTAAGCTTCGGTGCAGACAGTCAGTGTGTTTAAGGTGCTTGTGCACATTCAGTCTTCATCAGTTTTCTAACATAACAGAGGAGACCCATAGCAAACTGAGAGCGGGACCTTGTAAACGCGCAATTGGATGGAGACAAGCGACGCCTCTTGAGGTACCATCGGTCACCGTAATAGTGTGCGGTGTGTATGAAATCGTGGGCTTGGTGTTCCTCACTGTACCCTGCCTCAACCAAGGGGACTGCGCGATAATTGGATTAATCTCTGTTGTTTTTGGGTGTTTCTTTTCATTGCCTGGATTGTATTGTATTGCAAGTAGCCTGTATGTCTTCATCAGCGCTCCTTCCTAGTAACGTTTAAAACTTCGGTGAAGTCATATATACAGAACTGGGATGCAATTCTAATATTTTGACTATCCGTGGACTTCTTCGTCCTGATGATGATAATTGTCCTAATGTGGAAATCATAAATTAGTTAATTAGATTTTCTTGTGCTGGAATGCTTTTTGCAAGCGGCTCTTGCTATTTTATTTTGCTCTAATGCAATAGTTTCTTCGGAATTAAAGACGAATTACAATAACAGAGAGTACGCTCAAAGTCCTGCATTCCGTTCGCGCTGTTAGAGGCACGACAGCCTGCGTGATAGATACGCCACTTCGCGTATGCGTATCACTGCACACATGCTGATTCGCCCTCTCTTGTACGTACGTGAGTAGCTGCACTGCACTCTCCGCCTAGCGGATCTACCGCCAGCGCACTCACTGAGCATACTTGCTCTCTCGCTCCTCTCTCTCGCTGTATGACTCAGCGCATATACGCTCGCGTTGGATACGAGTCCAGTCTGCGCACACACATTCCATGTGTCTGGACAGCGTGACGCCGTTGCCGCCAGCACATTCTATTCTCTACATTTCATTACGCTCTAGAACTAGCTCGCAGCAACTCGACTTGCTGATTTCCGCCAGACATTGGCTTTGTTGTGCTTTTTCCCCGCAATCACGCGGTATTTGCTCCACTTTATTTGTACAATAAAGGCACCTGTGAGCTCTCTGTGCTTGCCTGTCACAGCGCTATTCTTCAAAACGGCGGAATAAGGTAGATATGCAGTTAAATGATTTATTTCGCAAACTTTCACCTTTCTCGAATCGCTACTCGTGGTCAAGCTTGGGACACTTGTAAAAAGCTACAAATATATTTTACACAACTCGATACGTGTCAACCGACCCAATGAAATCAAGTCATGCATATATCCTATCATTATAATTCGGCAATATTCCCGAATTCCAAACATTATGCGAGCGATTTGGCAATGATCCCTCTGAGCAACAAAACGCCTTCGATGGAGCTTTACTACATGATGCAGTGCATAGACATTTTGTCGGTGTTCTTTCTTGGGAGTACGTAAAACGTAATCTACATTAATTCTCCGTATTCTGATTTTGATGATTGCTCAGGTTTTGAAACCATGAATTAAACTTTGATTGTGTAGCATAATTTTTTTAAAAGGTTTGTCAGAGATGGCAGCCTGCGCCTGGTGCGTACGGTCCACACAGGACGTACTTGCACCCATTGCATGCCGCTATCGCCTCTCTCGCCGTACGTACGTGTGCTGCTGCTGCACTGACTCATCCGCTGAAGCGGATATACGCAGCGCACACACTGAGCAGTACTTGCTCTCTCGTTCCTCTTTCGCAGTACTACTCAGCGTTCATACGCTCGCGTTGGATTGAGTCCAGTCTGCGCATCATCACACAGCTGACGCATCTGGCCTGCAGCACGCACGTGGTCGCAGCCAGCATTCTTCAACGCCTTGGTAGACGCTCAAGAACCCTTTAGCACACACTTGCTAGATTTGGCCATCAGCGCCTTTGTTCTTGCTTCCCTGCTATTACGCAGTATTGTTCCCCTTTATTTGTCAATAAAGCTCACTCGTGATCTCCTCGCCAGAGTCTGTTACAGGTTTATGGAATATTTTAACAAAGCATGGCAAATTGCCGTAAGGTTCGCCTCGATCTGCTCACACTCACCTCCATACATTTCATTCAATATTAATATTTTGGAAAATAATAATATCGACAGTTACTGCGTATCCAGACCTAAACCTTTCCTCTTTAATTAACAATCTTCGTACAAGGCGGAACGATAACTGAGAACGTACAAATACCAGATTTTCTATTTTAGAAAAAGAAAATTTCAGAATCTAACCTAGTTTATAATAAAAGGCCCCACTTAACCCACGAGCCGTTAGTAAAAAGCATTATAACGCTTACCTTATCACTTTCGAATCAAGTATGCTATCAGAAATACCAGAAAGGAGACGAAGCATGTATGTTAACCGCCGCAACGAATGACAGTCATAACGGAAGTGCTAGTACACAAAACCATGATATTTTTGAGACAATGGGACGTGCAATGAATATATGCTAAAAGCCATGCCAGATAAACATTTACTGGAAGCAGCAGCATTTGCCACCAGAGCGTATTTGTTTATTTTTCGACAACTGCAAGCTTGCGATGAAATTATCTGCGGCATACCGGGAGTGTTATTGATCATGCCGCAGTTGGCATTAGTGTGCGCATCGGCGTTAGTAGCGCTAGCAGGGCCCAACATTTGCACTGTTCAAATGGTAATTTAGCAGATCTTTTACAGATTTGCAGAAAATTAAAAAATTCTTTTAGATTTAGCAGTAAAACGTTTATATTTTTGGTATTCGTCGTTGTTTTGGACAAAGGAATGCCGTCGATAGCAATTAACAATGTGGTGCGCCAAAAGCCGAAGCCAGAGACTGGTGACGGAGCTTTATGGAGGTCGATCAAAGCCCAGGCGTGTAAAGTAAGGGAAATGGCGCATCGAAAGGTTCGCCGCATATTTAAAGAAAGCAAGAAATCGAAGGAAGATGGTCGCAACTGCGTGCAGATTGCCATAATACGATTCGTACCATCTGGTGTGCGTAGCTGCTGCAGTGTCTTCGCTGAATGCTGCGTCTGGAGATGCGGCTTGATAATGGTCCTTAACATTGTGCCAGCCATCGCAATGGGAATCTGGGGAGTCAATTACCAAGCCCGACACTGTACGTTCAGGTGACCGAATTCTCGATACTGTGCAAACTGTTTTGTTTTTGTATTCCTACGTTCTTTTGAAGTTTTCCTGCAACGTAACATTTACTTTTACAAATATACCGTTGCCGTGCGGCAGTAGATGCACGTAGAGTTCGCTGACCTTTCCTAAGAATTATACTTCTTCTCGGGTTCTTTTCGTTTAGTTAAAATGAAAGATTTAGAGTATCTGTACTTTGTAATAGCTAGTTTAAGGCGTTACTTGGTATTAGGAATTAGCCTGCACTACTCTGCTGCATTAGTTGGGTTTATCATTTCATATATTACAAAACAGAGTTATCTTTAGGTACGCCGAATGCTAGTGGGTATATTGGCGCTGGAAATGTCAGCATGCAAGCTCCTTCCAGACAGGCTGATGTATTTAAATGGTTGGATTCAACTCAGAAAATGGATGATGCTAACATTCTGTATGCTTGGGATCGTCTGAAGACCGTTTTGCGCAAACTCTGCTTTGAAGTTATTTGCGAACGGGGTAAATGCATACTCGTGCTTGATGCTCAAAAAGTGATTGGCAAATCTAAAAATTTGGTATGCAGCGTATGCTGATATGTATGTAAATTGTAATATATATCCTGTATACGCAAAGGCGACCAAACTTCAATAAAGCGATAACATTTATTTAGAAAAGCTTGCACTGCAATAACTATCGTCATGTGCACGTTTTAGGCACAGGGACTCAAGGTGCTGAGTGCCTAGCGCAAATCTCTAGTACTATAACAGTTTTCTTGAATTGTAGAGGAGTATCGTAGCAAATGGATACAGCAAATGTGTATACGCATAACCGGATGGAAAGAGTCGTCGCGACTGTGGGCATGTTCGATCGCCTTAATAGCCTGCGGCGCATCCCAAATCCTGGGTATGGTTATCCTCGCTTTAGAGAAGCACTGTGGTGGCGCCATGACGGGATTGAGGCTTTTCTTGGCTGGCTTTATAGTTTCGGTGTTCTGCTTTTGCCTCGCAGCGAGCGATCTTTACATTTATAACAATGCACTGTCCTGGTAAAAGCCCAGCTCTATATGTAAAAAGTCGTGTTAAATTTTCCTAAGCTAGTATTATAAGAGTTCATGTTTACTGTACTAAAGGAGGGCATATTCTATGCAGGGATATGCCGAGATAAATATTTTACCGGAATGTAACAGCTCGACAGCAAGTAATATTTGCGAGTTCAAGGCAGTACAATTTCTAAGATAATGGTTTATCAGCTTTACCAACCCAGAGTTTGAAGAAAAGCGTTACATAGCTAAAATAATTACACTGTACTTAATCCAGGTAGAAAAATTACGGAAAAGAGAAAGCATGATGTTATTCATAAGTTCTTATATTCCATTTTCAGCTTCCAAGTATCCAGTTGAATAATTAATAGGTACGTCGAATGCGGCCGGCCGGATTACTGTTGGAAATGTCAGCATGCAAGCCCCTACCAGACAGAACGATGTATTTAAATGGCTTGATCCAACAAATGGACTGGATGACGCTGACACTCTGCATGCTTGAGATCGTCCGGAGGCTGTTTTGCGCAAGCTCTGCTTTGAAGTGGTCTGCGAACGAGGTAAGTGCAAGGTAATATATCCGCATGCCTTATGCTTAACAAGTGGTTAGCGAAATTAAAAATTGGGCATACTAATATAGGGGGAAAAATGAGTCTAGCCGAACCAGTCCCTTGTACTTCTGATGTAAGCCAGCTGGTGGTTTACGTTGCGGCTAGACAGCGTTTTATGTACAGCGCCGCTATTAAGATATACCACCTTGCCTTTTCTACTGAAACCGATAAAGTAGCAAATGTGGAAAAATTGACCTTCAAAATTTGTCGCAAATTTTCTATAAAAGTGAAAGATTTGTACTGAATACACAGCTCAGCCGATTACTGAAATGGGCGGCCTAATCACGCAGAACATTTCGTCTAAGTTAGCCGATGCTGGTGCTGTTCCCATGACTGAGGCCGCGTTCCCGCGTTGGATGTCGATGCTGATCCGTTGGCGCAGGAACTCCGTCGCCCGTACCTCGCCTGTTTCCTGTTGTATCATCTTCCCGACTTCGGTGACCAAACGAGAGGCGTCCGGTCCGAGTGGTCCGAGTGTTTCGACGCCAACTGCACGGAACAGGTAGTCTCGGGTGAGTTCCCGATACTTTGCCACTTTATCCTGCTCTGCGCGCGCCGCGGCTGCCCCCGCTTGCTTCGATGTTGCCGCGATGTGCGACAAAGCTACCGTGCACACATGTGGCGTCCCAGGTCATTAAGATTACAAGTACTGATAACAGGTATTAAAGCAGCACTCGTATAACTGCAGGATTTGGAAATGCCATTCCGCAGATGGAAATGGAACTGCGTACATCCATAGAATTACATTTCTGCAATATGAAGAATATTTATTGGTTTAGTCATTACCTAGCAGTTTAACATCATACACAAAAACAGATCACAAAACAAAGTAAACAGCACTTAAACCATCAGAACGTGGAACAGTTGAAGTAACCGACAGAGCATTCCCGCGCTGTATTTCGATGCTAAGACGCTGTAACAAGAACTCGTAGGATCGTCGTTCACCCAGTAGCATCCTTTAGGCGTTTACCCAGCTCACGTAAAAATTTCAAATACGATGGACCGACAACACCAAAAGTCTCAAAAGCTAAAGCGACAAAATCGTACTCGGTTACCAGATATTCGTATTTACTACATTTTTCCTCTTCCGCTTTCCTGGCAGCCTCACCAGCTTTAATACTGCTGCTGATAACGTTAGACAAGGCAACTGTATCGACGCATGTCACATCCCAAGCCAGTCGTAATCCGTTTTTCCAAGGCAGTAGTGACAAACCATCCGGCCGGCGATTGTTCACGGGATCAGTCCCTCTCGGTTCGAGTACAGCCGGTATATTAGCAGTAACCAGGCTTCTGCGAATCACTTCGTTCAAGGATGTGTGGCGAAGGAAACGTCCGGCGCTCTTTTTACAAGAAAGTCCGTGGTGGCCGTATTGGTCGACAGGTTGACGGCAGTCAGTGCAGAGATGAGGACTGCAGATTGGTGCGCCAGTGTAATCCGACGGCTACGCGGAAGCTTTCATCAGACATCAACGTTCCAAGGGAAGGTACGGGAGGGCGTTTAGCCACTTTCCCGATTCCGGCTGTGCAACTAAAAGCGCGCACAGTGGGTAACATCGTTTTAAACAAATTTACAATTACTTCGCAAGACTTTGACTACTCCTGTATCCACACTTTCTGTGACCGTCTAAGGTTTTCTGTGGTAGTTCTGTACCCGAAGCTGCTTGCCACAACTGGTGCACTAAGTCGCTTATCCGTTCAGAGCGATGCTTGAAACCAGAGACGACGTGGCGTAAACCGAAGCCAAATAGGCTGAAGTCGCTAGTTCTGCCACACGCCTGATCCCTAGCCCACCACTGGAAACGGGAAGCGAAACTTGAGCCCAAGTGACACTATCAAATCTGACATTGGTAACTGACTCAAGTGCCGATTTGCTCACGCTATCAAAAACTTCTAGCTCGTCTGTACAGAGCCAGGTCGGACTAGCGCGAAGTAGGTAGTTCATTTTTGGGACACAAATACAGGTACGCAGGAGATAATATGCTTGATGAGCAGGCAAAACACTTAGCTTTGAAGAGAGCCTTTGCAGATCTTCGGTCTTTTTGGCAATCGCATCAGGAATAGCGGCCTGCAAAAGAGGAGCGCCCAGCAGTAACAATTCACTTTCAGTGGGTTGTAAGAATTCTGGGTGGCACTTAATGAACGTTTCCCGCACAATTTCACGATCTAGCGCTGTGCCGCCGAAAACAAAGAATTCACATTTTGTGAGATTTAGTTCTAGACCATATTCATGTGCAGTAGCAATGACCTTATCCACATCAGCTAATACCTCGCATAATTTGCCGCCTATGACGCCATCATCTAGATACCATGCATTCAAGGGCGACAACAAAGACAAAATTAGCGCTAGTATAAGAAGAGAGAATAACAGAGGGCCTAATGGATCTCCCTGCTGCACGCCGGCCTGGGAAAGAATGTCCCACTCGCCGAATACTAAACTACTGGGATCTCGATAACACTGGCTAATAAAATGCAAACATTCTGGTAATTCGGATTGCACACACTGTAGCATTTTATCGCGATGGATCGTGTTAAAGGCATTACGAAAATCAAACTTTACGAGAACTTGCACCTCATCTGATGGACTTGTGACAAAACGTCTAGCCGCATGTACAACTGCCTCGCAGCCGCCGGGACTACCGAAACCCATCTGTTTCGGCCTCAGTTTTTCACCCATTTGCTGTTGTACGCGTTTAATCACAATTTTCGCGACTATACGGCGTATAGTGCTACCGACCGCAATAGGTCTTATACCTCCTCCTTTTTTATTTAAGGCTGTTAAACTTGCGCCGTAAAGTACAGGCACAATTTTTTCGGGAACCCGACCGGCTAGCATATTATCCGCTAATTGGGCTAGAACTTCACACAACTGGCCAGAGCTATCGTCCGTGATATCGTTTATCATGTCTTTGAAATGCTGCGGTCTAAACCCATCTAGACCACCAGCCGAATCGTTCGGAAAGCTGGTAATCGCTTCGAATATTTCTTTTTGTTTGACACGGCTTATCTGATCTCTCTGAGCTGAAGACAATACTGGGTAGCAAGCGTCCGGGTTGGCAGCCGGATGTTTGTTCTGCAGTTCTGCGAAAGTGGCTGCCGTGCGGGGCGCAAGAGCGTCTCCTGAACAAAGAATGCGGACAGCTCCTGACACGTCGCCATTTTGAATTTTCCCTTGAACGAATTTCGGTAAATCAAAAGGACGTAGCGGTTGGGCAGGTGCGACGGGAATTTCTCTAACCCCTGACTCAAAGCTAGCAATATTACATTTAATCAGCGAGGCTAAAGACTGGGTTCGATCGCTCTTTGCTTTCCCTGGTAAACGAAACACGAAATATGCAAACGTAAGCAGGTCTTCCCATGATTTTTCTGAGTTTTCCGTAACACACCGAGAAACTACGCGCTTCAACGCTGTGGCGACTGCTCTGCGAGCGCCTTTGGGAATACGCTTTACTAATCGACAATTTGCTCTCAGAAACTTCACCTGGTCTAGAAGGCTGGAACTGGAGACCGTGGCGGAAACTTGGTTGGTGGCTGATGTGTCCAGTCCGCGCTGCCGACGCACCACATTCTCCTTGCATTTGTTGCTTCCGTTGTGTTTGGTGAAGGCGCTTTTGGTCGTGCAGACAAATCCGCAGATTGAACAAGGAAAAGAAGGCTTTGAGGACGGCACAGCTCCTCCCGAAGTTAAATCCATAATTTCAACACATTATTCACGTTGCGTTCAGGAATTGGATCAGCAGTAACAAACGAGTATGAACAGAATAAATTAGGTAACCAGTACTAACCAGAAATCATGCTGACAGAATGCCTTGGAAGGAGACTGGTATTCTTTGCCAAAGAGTACGCGCTGACGACTGATACAGCTCAAATTGCAGGTAAGCAGGCTACAACTGTATTGTAGCCCGGTGCAGCTAAAACCACATGTACCGTCAATGCCGCACAGCCTTAATAGCAGCGCTTTACATAAAACACTGTCAAGCCACAACGTAAACCACCAGCTGGCTTACGTCAGAAGTACACGGGACTGGTTCGGCTAGACTCATTTTTCCCCCTATATTTATTCGTCGTAGAAAGCGATTGATCTTCGTTAACACAACACAAAATTCAAAAACGGTTGCATGTTTTACGGGCCGAAATCGAATGCTCATAGGTCACAACTGAGTCTGCTTAAAGGTGTATCGGTCTTTTTTAACCATAGAGGAATACCACACGAATCAATTTATTCAGAGGTCGTGTATACGCATAACCGGTTGGAAAGAATCGTCGCATCTGTTGGGAACATCCGTTGCCTTAATAGTCTGCGGCGTATCTCAAATCTTGGGTATGGTTATCATCGCGGTGGAGACGTACTGCGGTACAGGGTGCGCTATGGCTGGACTATGGTTATTTATGGCCGGCTTTTTCTTTTCATGGATTTACTATTACCTTATAGCTAGCGATCTTTACATTTACATTAAAGCACTTTCTTGGTAAAAATCCTGATATGCTGCTAATATTGTCCTGTTGCGTTTGTCTAATCTGCCTAAATAAATGTTCTTGCATATCTGTACGTAAATAGTGCGCGAAGTTTTGTTCCAGAAGAACGTACATATCTGTATTTGCATGCTGTGCGTCGGCGCTCTGTATTGTAAGTAAAGCAAATACCTATGTGCATTATGTGGTACGTTTGCTGGACTATCCTCGACAGACTGAAATTGCAAAACAGTCTGAAAACTATTAAATGCAGACTGTACATAATAAAAAGCATATGAAAACGGATGTACGAAAATAATTTGGATATTTGCCAAGCGATCCTGACTCCTGAGGCAGCGAAATTCACACCAAATGCCAGCATTGCCATTTACATATTTATTTAATGGAAACTGGGAAGCATTGTTAATACCATTGCTCTTTGGAGGACGCAAAGCTACTACAAAATTTTTTGCGACGCTTCGTGAATATTGTCATTTCTGCCGGTAACCAGCCATTGTTTTCAGTGTTGGTTGCTGTCACAAGCCTTGTCTTTTTTCTCGTCTAGAAAAATGACGGATCATCAAAAATTCATTTGAATTGTACTTCAGGGCGCAACTTACACTCGTATTTCCGCAGTAGCTATCCTAGCTAATACCGTATTAGCTTTCTGATAATCGACACAGTAGTTATGCTTCCGTGGGAGAGGCGATACAAGAGCGCGAAAAACAGTTAATGGTAGGTATTGCAGATGACTCAGATAAAGACCCCGCTTTGCACCATTTGCATAAGGAATTACTCGTGTATAAGACTACAAGGTACTGCTACGCATTACGTGCGATGTATTCTGGAGTAAATCACGGTCCATACCACATGGCATTCGGAGATGCTGCATGTCGTTTCTTTACCGAATGCTTTGGTTGCATTTTCGTTGTGCTGATGATCTTAAATATTATAATATCTTCTGTGGCGATGCATATGGGAATCTGGGGTCTTTGTTATCAGTTTTACATGCGCTGCCATTTTGGTGTTCGGGAAATTTTACTCCCTTTTTTATCATTAATCGTTAATGACGCAACGCTTGTACAGAAATCAGTAATACTAGTATCTAAAGAAACGGAATGGCAGATGACGTGCGTTAAGTCCAGCGACCTTTGAAAACGATTAAATTTCATATACCGTCTTCCGAAATTCCGAAATTTCTTGAGTACTCGTATGCATGAAAAGTTCTTCAGGTTCACCGGATGATAAAGGGTATTACGTTTGGGAATTTCAGCATCCAGGCTCCCGTTAAACAGAATAACATCTTCAAATGGATTAGCCCTGTAGAGGAATACCCGTGATTTTGATAACCTGCATTACTCCGATAGCCCAGAAACTATTTTACGCAACCTCTTATACTCTGTAGAACTATTCCGTAGTGTGCTAATGGAGTAGATCTTAGCAGTACCGTCCTCGGGGGCACATGCTACAAGTTATGCAGGAAGGCCCCTTGAGAAGTACTCTTGTTTTATGTGACCTATCGGTAAGAAACATCGCCCTTGCGTATTACGCAGTTTTCTTAATTAAAACTTGAAAACTCGATCGATTTTGCTTATGTTATAGCGGAGCCCCATAGTAAACTACTATAGCGATCTTGTAAACCTCTTTGAGGAATACCGGTTATGTCGATTTTCTGCGGCTTATCTCAGATTGTGGGTGTGCCGTAATGGAGCAGTGCGATTGCGATGAGGTTGGATCAGTGTTTTCCGTTTTTGGCTTTTTAATTTCGTTGATTTACCTGTAAGTTATATCGAGCAGCCTGTAGATTTGCATCAAAATTCTTCCCTGATAAAAATCAAGATTTTCTTAGGCTGTTGTAACAAATAGGTTATTACTGCTTCTATTTGGTTCTCTAGCGTCTGCCGCAGCTCAGGTCGCTCATTTTGTGGATGTATCTGTACCTGTGCTCCTTGGCGGATTAGTGATGATGTTTTTAGTTGTTGGGTTGGCGCAATAATCAATATTAACAAACCCTCGCGGACATTTTATGCAAGGAAACATGCACCAGCAACTCCAAACTTTACTTTCGTTTTTATTATTATGTAGTTAAAGCTTTCACTGTAATGTTTTTTTGTGCAGAAAAAGACAAAACAGTTGAATTACAGCAAAACAAGGTACCGCAACTGATGCCGCTTACAAAATTAATTCAAAGTATTTTTCTTCAAAATCTAATTTATGTTTTCGAAATCTGACTAATCCATCAATTCGGAATACGCGATACAAGTATGTACAGTGTACGTACATACAAGCACTTGATAAGCATGGAGCACACATATAAGCACATCAAGTGGACTTGCATCCCTAAAGACTGATCAGTTGCAGATTCGGTCAACTTCGTACATTTGTACATTTGTTTTCCTAGTCTTATTCGCTTACGGTATTCTCCTCCGGATTCCACAGTTTCCACGGATATTATTAGGTATTCAGCGACAATAAGGCTTCACCCTTTTCCTCTAACGTACCGATGACTGCTGTGCTTCACAGCTGCTGAACAAAAAGATTTCACCGCTATTCGTCAGCTAGCCCGGCATTTCCGTACGTCTGGAATAACAACCTACTGTACCCGCGCGAGTTTAAGGGACAGAAACTTGCCCCAGACCGCCCGCACTAGGCGTCGGCTTCTTTGACATCAAAGAAACCGACGTCTAGTGCGGGCAGTCCAGGGGAATTCACTGTCCCTTAAACTCGCGCGGGTACAGTACTTCCGGGTTTCTCAAGAAAGGCTCGAGGTGAGGTAATGTGATCTCCGAGTTCGTCTGCTCAAAAGCTATTAATAACTGTTAGTCCTGTTGGGATATTATTTGCACTAGGGCGCTTTCTAGTCAATTTCAGTTTAAATCATACGGGCAGGAAGTTCAACATACCTCCGGAAAGTTTCGCCAGCGTGTGTATGCAGTCTTCTATTCTCATAAATGTCGACTTCTGAGTGACGAATGTGTTACGTAATTAACGGCGGCTATCATCACTACATGCTTGTCAAGTAATCAAATAATGATCATGGTTAGATGCTTTCAGCACATCACTACGTAAACAGCGCCAGATCCGATTTTTTATTAATTACTCGTACTTACCGGAATGTGGACACGGTAGCGTGATATAATATACAGGCCTGTATGCCGTATTGTACGTTGGTCCCGATACTGTTTTCAGTTCGCCTTTTATTGTGGTGTGGTATTATGTTTGTATTACAGTACGTACAGTATTACATGTGCACTTCCATTTCCATGTCTAAAAGCAAGCAGCTATCAAAATGGTGCCCAGTCTGTAGAACCTGTAACAACATGCCTGTAAACAACATGCCTGTTGTTAAGGTTAACCGTTAACGAGACTAGACTAAACTATCGTGCATGGAATGATTAAACATGCTGCCACATTGGGATGGCATTTTCCTATCCACAAACATTCATCTAGGAATCGTATCTGTGTTAAAATTAATAAGATAATTTGATTCATTATCAACGCTGGTAAATAAACTGCATCCGCTGGTGTGAAGGTGTGCTTGACATATACGGCCTCGGGCTCCTCTCGAGCGCCAACGATCGTATTACGATTTATAGAACGCACAATTCTAGTGCAGTTTTCAGAAATTACCCGTTCTAAATAGCTCGTAATTAAACGTATTACATGCTGATGTCAATTTAGCCGTCTAATTAGTATAAATAGCCAAGCCTAGCGTGCTCATAGGATAGCCGCGGCATCTGAATATTAAGGTACCTATCGATTCTTTGACGTCAGTTATATCCTGTTAATCTTGCTTACTTGTTGATGTAGGTGGCGTAAATGTCAGTTTAATTCACAGCTCACCGGTGAAGTTCCGTATTAGTCTTACTTCAGTGGGCATAATGGAGATGTCCGGTTTCTTGTCAGCCAGATTCCGTCCATACCGCAGCTTCTCAAATTATTTTCTAACAACCAGGCATTTTCTTATTATCAAAACACACCTCGGTGGTCGTGCTCTGGGTCGTTTGGCGTTCGCACATTCATTTTTTATCACGCCGTTTATTTTGACAACAACAATTTCCAGAATTCCAGATCCAACAATGTCTGCGGTCTTATTACGTGTCCAGATCAAGGCGTAGGAGGCACGATCGGGATTGTTCAACTGTCACCATCTTCACCACGTCGCCACATCACACAGCAGCTTCCTGGAATATAAATGTCGTGGAAAGTACTTCTTGACAGTTTCAACGATGTGACAGCAGTCTCATCATCATTAATCGTGCAAAATTGCGTGATCCACACCGGCAATGCATAATCACGAGGCCTTTCTTAATTTCACCACAAATGAAACCATGCTGAATGCAACCAACTCGTCGCGTTCCCAGCCACCGCTGGGAGCTTATGATATCTGTGAAATTACCAATCTAATTCTAGCGGTACTATTTAACAGCACAATTTTACTTATCTTACTGCACCAGCCTCGCGAAGTCGCACGAAATCCGTTCCTAATTTACGTTTTGAATCTGCTAATTGCAAATCTCGTGTTTTTTATCTGCTATACACCGCTGGACCTTGCTGTGGATGATATGGCTGATTTTTCGTTTGGATTGCCGGCCTGCTCATTTTACCTATACGCACAATATTGCGTAGGTAATATCAGTATTTTCGGCCATCTACTGATCGTGATTAACCGCATCTGGGCCGTTGCCGCACCCATTCATTACAAGCAGCATCACACAGTCCGCATAACCACTATTCTGTGCGGCATCTCCTGGATTATCATGCACGTTATCATAGTTCCGGGAATCGTTTTTAACGCCACGCTCTTGTCCAAATCCAATATGCCGAAAGGTTGTGTTGTGGATGTCATCAACAGCGTTATCCTGAAGACATGGAACACTTTTGCCCAGATGGTGCTGGTAATTAGCGAGATAATTATGCTGGCTGGATGCCCTTATATCTTGCGGAAGAAGCACGGGACGCGTCAGATTGCAAAATCGGCAGACAGTGACACCAACGACGGCGCTAGTTATACCGCAAACAAAGACAGTAAGCGATACAATAATTGTGCTTAAAAATAGATGTGCACCTGCATTTCGCGGATGTGTAATGAGATTCTGTTTTTAGCAGTAGTGATGAAAGTGTACAAGAGAAAAGCTGATGAGAATAAAGAGACTTCCTGGTTGCTGCTGCTACTGACTCTTTCGGTCTTCTTCTTCTGGACCCCGAGTATGATTTGGTACATCAAACTAAGCTTTTCCTCAATTTATGATCCATATGTGACACAAGTGATTAACCTTATTTTCAACTTCCAAGCTGTTGTTGACCCTATTGTATTCACCTTGGCATTTGATAGAATACGAAAATACTTTGAATACAATCCGTGTACGGGTGGTACAGCAGCATTTACTTGGTTCAGAAATACTTTGTATCGCGTTGGGAAAAAATTAAAAAAATCAAAGACATTTTGCAGTGCAATATTTTGGATGGTGATACGTACGCTAAGGGAAAAATGTTAAACGTTTTACGGTAGGTCGTTCAAAACAACAACAACAACAACAGAATTACTCATGTATAAAACAGAAATAGTTTTCGCAGAGCAAATCGATCCCTTGATTCGATCACCACTAACCAAAGCAGCATTTAGAACGTTTACGTTTTCAAAACTGTCAACACATCGAACGGCTTGTTAGTTTTCGCACTGCAAGATGGTAAACATTTTGGTAGTAACTGAAACCATGAAGGAAGCTGTAAGAATAGGTCAAACATACTGTAGCGGCTCGATCCAGTGGGCACCACAGATTTTGTGTACGGGAAAACAGCACACATGCAGCGTTTGCATGCTCGTGCGTTCGGAAGCACAAGCAGCCAGCGCACACTGTGAAAGTGCTGATTTCGCGTACACAAACTCTGTAAGGCTACTTGATCGAGCCGCTATAATGGGCTATCAGTACGGTACATCCATGTTCGGTCAACGGTATATCCGGTATATTCGGTAGTTTCCGCGACTTGAGCGGCTGCTTAAAACCCCGCTGCAAAGCGCTGCTCTATCCCATTCACTGCTGTCACTTAGTTGTCTGTTTTGAGTTGTTTCACTGCCAGCAACCATTGCACTTGCCTGAAAACTGTTGTACAGAGCGTTTCATAAACAGGTTGTTTACTCTGTAAAACAGCGGAATCTAATATGAACCAGAAACTGAACTGAACTTCTACGATACAGCGGGGCGCTACGCCATTATTGACAAGGGCTTGCGTAACCCAAGAATATGTGCATGACCTTTGACGAAACAAGATTGATGCAACTGATGCTCCAATGATGTGCTCCTGGCTGCGTAATGTACCTAAGTGTACCTTCAGTCGCTGGCAGCTTTCTTGTGTAACATAAAATAAAATATATTTTGTTTTTTACACTCATCATTCGGCGCCCACGAACAGAACGTTTAGGATTTTACACCCCATTCATTCGATCCAAAATTTGGACGATATTTCTCCGCTCTTGCTGCTGCAATAAACCTGCATCGATAAAATAGAGTACAACAGGACAAAATAGAGTAGGCATCTTAGCAAATGTTTTTTAGCTTTCGGTGTAATTCCTTTGATTCCATAACAACTTCATGTTGTTCTGTAATATAGGGACGAACAGATATTTCTTGTTTCTGAAGGTTTGGTGAGTTCCCCAAGTAAACTTACACTGCTGCCTGAGGTCACACGGGTTCCGGTTATTATTTGACTCGACCAACAGTCGTCAGTTAAATAACAGTGGAGGACGATAAATCGTTCGTGGGCGTGTTCGAGGTTAATTACGCTACTTCAGTTGCTTCTAAGAACGAGGTTAAAATCATGAAAAGAGCAGCACGTTAGATCCACTAACAACAAATGTCGAACATAAAGCAGGCGTTCATTACAAATTATCTGATTATCATTCAGGATCTTCGTTCATTTTCACCAGTTACACAATTTTTGTTATCAAGAACGTGCTTTTGCATCCCCTTGGGCCTTGGACCACCGATTGTACGCTTTAATACAGAACTAACAGTACTGTATTATGTCCATAATTGCGGTGCCAGTGCCTTTCAAGATTAAAACGGATTATTTGCTTCAGAAGATGCAACAGACAAACTGTTCAAGACTTATAATATTTATTGTAATAAATGGATTTTCTGAGACTTATATGTACACTATACAGCCTACAGGTACACCGGTGCAGATACACCTGTACACCGGTGCAAAATTTATGTGCCCAGTCGGATTTTGCAGTCCAGCATCTTGCGAAACCGTAAAATTTAAAATAATCTGTCACGCACATCTGTTACTGCATTAGTGACGATGTATCATAAACAGATATTCCAATTCAGCCAATAATGTTACTACTTACTAGTAACATGGGCAGCGTAACCGCATGCCAGGACCAGTGGCTTTTCACAGCCATATAAAAAGAGGAAGTCACTGAGGAATTGTTGAACTCCGTACCTATCTGCATGTTTGTGGCTCTATATGGGATCTAAAATTGCCTACAATTTTCATACTTCACCAAAAGTACAGTGAATAATTGTAAAAAGCAAGCCAGTCCCGAGTGTACTGTATGCATGCGTTGCAGCGCCGCGTACATGAAAGGTAGGGCTTTTTCTGCTACGCCCTTAAAGACCAAACACGTTGCATATCTATTAACAGTACCCATGTCGGGAAGTAACTAATAACCACTTTAAGGGCAAGCAGCGCAAGTAGTAGTAAGTAATGGTAATAGCGCAAGTTAAAACTTTACGATTGGGCGTATAATGTATGACTACCGTGGCTTTCATTTTTCTGCGTTTTGAAATTGACGTTTTCTACCTAGACTGCCTGCTGGTTGTGAGAGCGGTTTAACACGTCCAGCTCAAGCTGTGATTTGCCCTTTAATCCATCTCCTTACGTGCCACAGGGCCAAACAAAGAGCCCACTCAACATCGCCGCAGGATCAAATTGTCGCCATCGTGTTCGATAAGCCACTCGGCGTGTTCATCTCCCATTTAAGGTACCCGACGTGGGTGTATCCTTCCGTAAAATGTATGGCAATACCAAGCTTCATCCGTGATGATTTTTGAAATGTCGGGTGTGAAAAATTAATCAGATCCGAGAACATCCGGGAACATCTGGAGCTGGCCATTTATTAATTCATTCGCAAAAATATTGACAGTAATTTTATTTAAAATGGCCAATAACACAAACTGCACGTTCATCCCGGTTGTTTTGCGCATCTACGACATCTGCGAATTAATTAACTTGATTTTAGCTGTTCCGTTAAATGTCGCGGTGTTAATTGTTTTATTGCGGCAGACGCGTGAATTAGGCAAAAATCCGTTTTTGACGTACGTCGTTAACCTGTTGGTAACAAATTTAATTTTTTTCGTGGCCTACGCCCCACTGGACCTCGCCGTCCAGGATTTGGAATTATTCCAATATGGTGTTACCATCTGCGTATTTTACTTATACACCCAATACGTTCTGGGGAATATTGGAATTTTCGGCCATTTATTGATCGCCATCAATCGCATCTGGGCGGTCAGCATGCCGGTGCATTACAAACAGCATCACAGCGGAAAAACCGCGATAATTTTATGTGTACTCTCGTGGGTCGCAATGCATGTAATCATACTTCCGGGGATTGTTGCCAATCAGCCGTTGTTGCGGGCGTCCAACAATGGTTGCGTGCTAAAGTGTGTGATCAACACCGGCGCGAGTGTGGTGCTGCAGACGTGGAATACCATTGCCCAAATGCTGCTGGTAATCAGTGAACTGATCATGTTAACAGCGTGTCCATACATTTTGCGCAAGAAACAGGGAACGCGACGTGTGGGATTAAAGACTGTTCGTAGTTCGCAGTTATCATCAGAGAAAAACTCTATAAATGACGGTAAGCAGCAGTTTACTTCTTATTTTGATTCTCTACAGACAGTAACAGACTGCGTAATAAGGTCAGCAAAACACCACAATTAAACAAATAAATACCAGCATAAATATTTTTAATTTTAGGTATTGATTTCTGTTATTATATGTCAGTTGTGGTTTTCTGCAGACGATGGAGCAGCTCGAAGTGGAAAAACCGTGGAGAGCAATCAAGAAACTTCGTGGCTTCTGCTCCTGCTAACTGTTTCGGTTTTTGTTTTCTGGACGCCCAGCATGGTCTGGTATCTGATGATGAGTTTTCGCTCCACATCGAATCCATACATCAGCCAAGTTGTTAATTTAGTCTATGACTTTCAAGCTGTTGTTGACCCCATTGTGTTTACCCTGGCTTTTGACAGCACTCGTACACAGGCAAAAATTGCCTTTCGAAAATTTCTGCGTTAGCAATGTGCTCTGACTATCTGTGTTACTATTTGTACGAGTAGTACTGTACTGTAATATGGACCGCTTTCGATAATATCATTCTGGCTTTTCATACGTGTAGAGAATGCTACAAATTCTGTAGTGAGTTCAGTTCCATAGTGTATTCAGTTCGTGATGCACACAATACTACAGTATCTGTGCAGTTTGGTATCTACTGTCTGATTACTGGTATACAGGGTACGGTAGCGGCTTTGGGCGTTTATCAAGAAATGATTGCTTATAGCGAATCCAAAAATTCCGTGTCGTTGTAGTTTACAGGATTAAGAGTTATTTCGGTCCGCAGTGCGTCTCAGGGTCAGCCCTTGCTTAGCAGAGCCAGCTGAACGCTGTAACGTATTAGCACATTACAATAAAATAAAATGCTGAACCTTTTAAAGATTACCTACTGAAGACAGCCGCATTTGGTGAACCACCACAATACAGCATGCTTCACGTGTGTGTGCAAACTTGAAAGGTTTACTGCAAGAAAGACACCGGAAGAATCTTTAAGCCGTTAAGGTGCACTTTGTGTTGTCATTGTTCGCCCTATACACCGGATTATATTGCAACTGCAGGGGCAACGCTTCCGTTCTGCGCCCACGCGTTGCCCTTTTTCCTTGAAACAAAAAGATTTATTAGACTGACCGTCATGCAGAACGGTGGGACTCTAGGTGCCTGCAGCCTGATAGTGCATCATCAACAAGCGAAGCGGTAGACTTGATCACATCGCATGCCGGCGCAATGCAATATGACGTTTTGCTGCTTGTACGTAATGAAGTTATATTTTCCACATTTCCCGAAACCTTAAAACAAGATTACCTTAAAAATTTGATGCCGCAAAGCTTGTTATCGTTGGTATGTCCTACAGCAAAGAATTACTATAGTTATCTCTTCAACTGAGTTTGTGCCAAACGTGATGCTGTTTTAAGTAGCAATAATTCAGTTCTCCACAAAGTATGTTCTTGTTCCATCCGATGCAGCCTACGTCAACTATGGTTAAATCTATGCCAAAATGAACATTTAATGCATCGTTTTGATGCATCATAAGTTAACTTGGTCTTCAGCCGGATCCAGGAATGAAAAATGGGCATCTTATGACGCCGTATGCTGCATGTTAATGTTCGTTGACCCGCTGTGTTCAGCTTTAATATTACAACGTGGTACTATTATTCCGTTTCACTGTGCGTTTAAGTATTGGTATTAGCCATACCGCAGTCAGTGGGTCAAGTATAATTCCACCATTTACGGTGTACCTCTTGTTGTGATGTCCCCGAAGCCGTAATATCCCAGCCTGTCAGTCAATATACGCATCAGCCTAATTGAGAAACCGCCTACGCACAGCGCGTATTAACAACGGTTTCTGGAAGATTGTAGCTAGCCAAGACTGTGTTGTGCAGAGGAAAACGTTCTTTGCATTATTGGCGTTCTTTATCAACCCAGATATCTTTCGGCGAACAAGTAAGCTTGGTTGTCTTCTTTTTCTTATAGAAATGCTGACCTACCCTACTTGTTTCCAAAATTATTGGCTTACTCATGTTACAGTACTTGTGTTAGAACGCTTTGTGAGCCGCGCGTTTGTACGGATTGCTTTTTATGAACGTAAACGTGTACGTATGTCATGATGCAGCACAAAATCAACCGGTGGAGTCCCAGACCCATTGCCTCTTTTTAATCTTGCTACGAGGCTTCCTTGTCCTAAATCCTAGTTTTATAATATTATTGAAGCAGTCATCTGTAGTTTGAATTTGAATGCAGCGATAATTATGAAATCTAATTTATGAGCAGTAGTACCTGGTTGTAACCTTTGAAACTCGTGAAATAAATACTGGACAGATTATGAAACCATTGATAATCCTCAACAATACCAACTGCTCGCATTCACTGACCAGCGCGTATGACTTATGTGAAATCCTTAATGTCGTTCTCGCGCTACTCACCTCAACGCTGTCGTCTTAATTATTCTCTTGCGCCAACACCGGGAGATTGCACGGAATCCATTTCTCATCTACATCCTCAACTTACTGATCACCAATTTAACGTATTTGGTAACGTACACGCCGATCGACCTTACGGTGAACGATATGTTCCATTTTCAGTACGGAGTGGATATCTGCTCCTTCTACCTGTACACCCAATACGCTTTGGGTAATGTTAGTATTTTTGGTCATCTGCTGATCGTTATCAACCGCATCTGGGCCGTCACCTTTCCGGTACAGTACAAATACCGGCATACCACGAAAACGGCTGTCCTCCTGTGTGCGGCGTCGTGGATCGTCCTGCACGTAATAATCGTTCCAGGGATTGTTTATAACGCTTCACTGCTTCGTGTGTCCCGTATGGCTAGCGGCTGCGTTGTTAATATCGCCAGTAGTGTGGTCCTAAAGGCGTGGAATACCTTTGCCCAGATGGTTCTGGTAATGAGCGAGGTAATCATGCTCGTCGGGTGTCCGTATATTTTGCGCAAGAAACATCGTGGTCGGCGGATTGGAAAGCTGTTCAGTGCTATTGCTCCGGAGAACATTATTTATGCCATTAGTAATGAAGGTTAGTACTCTGCAAATACACACATTTCATAGAAGTATTAATATTTAATAAAAGCTAGCATCAGCGCTTACCGGGTATAAGACTTTATAGGATTGACCATGCCATCGATTTTGATTTGAAATGCCGTCGAAACCTTAGGGCTTACATAATTTCTGCTGCTTATTACTAAGAACAGTTTTTTGCCGTTATTATTTGTAACGAACGTGGCAGCTGTAGACTGATTATCGGCATTTATCGCAATTATCCGCCGTGAAAATAAGTTACGGTCGCCGTCAAAATACGAGGGGTAAGAATTTCGGCACACCAATTAACGCTGCATACGTACTATTTTTTATAGGCGTTATTCCTAGCCGAAACGGAACACGGTTTGATGATAACTACGAGACGTCGTGGCTGTTACTGCTTCTGACGGTGTCGGTCTTCATCTTCTGGACACCAAGCATGATCTGGTACATCAAACTGAGCTTCTCGGCGACGTATGACCCTTATGCTACCCAAGTAATTAATTTGATTTTCAATTTTCAAGCTGTTATTGACCCCATCGTCTTTACTCTGGCTCTGTACAATATGCGGAAGTATGTGATATTTTGTTAAAATGTTTACTGCATACCAGTCCTGTGCAACTCAGAGAGCGCTGTCGAGTCTCGAGTTATACGGACGAAAGCAATGGAAAACATCAGTAACTGAAAACAGCGAACGCACAAGCAATGGAAATTAAGTAATAATGCACAAAAGTGCGGAAGCTAAAAAATCTGTGTTACACAATATTAACTGTATTTTGTCAATAAACTAAAAAATTAGATTTTAACAGCTATTAAAATTCAATAGCTTTTTTTCGTAGTTTGTGCTAGTGCGTCTGTACTAGCGTAATCTGTGGTCTGTTTTTTTATCTATTAAACAATTTTTGTAGTCTGTACTAGTGCGACGATGCGTGGTACAATACGTAACATGATTAACATGTTAATCACATTTAATGCATGAAACTGAAATGCCAAAAAAGCAACATGCGAATACGCAAACTGGATTTTTAAAATCCCGAGCCGAACATAATTTCGGTTAACGTTATTAAAATGATGAGGAGATATACGGATGGTGAGGTGATATAGGGCTGGATATCATGCAATCCTGCCAGGTGGAAGACGTACTTTTGAAATGCACTGCGGCACATTGGATTTGGCGCCCTGTGGAGAAATTGACTAGAGTGGTCTAGAGAAATTGTGGTCTAGAGTGGAGAAATTGACTGTTCCGGCGCGCCTTGTGACAAACAATACCACGTTTCTTTCTATCAGACGTGGTAGAATGCTGCTCCGTTGAAGCACCTTTGATGAGTCTATCGTTCTGCTCCAGGAGATATTTATGAACGAACATTGTTCTCAATATTCTACACAGACTCTGTACAGTGAAAATTTGGTGGCATGAAACCACAATTTTGTTGTGCGACTTCAGGAAAAGTTACTAGGTGTAAACGTCGCGGTGGATTTGTTGCACGTGAGTGATTATTAATGGCAGTGCGCCCGTGCAGATCTGGAATTTATTAAGCCAGCGAATGATATGTAGAAACAATTGGCGGTACAGTATTACTGTGCAGGCTTTGCTGCGGCTTTTGGATGTAAAAGAAGTCCAGAAAGTGGTGGAGCTTTTCTTGACAGAGCGGACTCGAATCGGTCTTATGGTCAGCTGTTACATCAGCCGCATCGGCGTTTGAGACATCGACAGTAACTTCTCTTTCACTGCATGCAGCCGTTGCGGTATCGGGTGATGTTCTTGTATATTAAACGTTATCGGCCACTTCTAGAATTTTAGTATGAACGCCGTATAGAAACAAACGGCAGCGGAAACCACTGATCACAGAAACGCGGAAGGCGAATGCGTAGCTGCGTTGTAAATCTGGTTCGCTGTTCCTTAATTCCACATCTCCAGTGCTCAATATTTTAATGAGCGGTATTTCGTAGCACGCCGAATTGCGATCAGATAGCAATTGCGTCGAGCCTGGTGGAAACAATGCAATAACACACGGCATGTAGAGTAGGTGTGATACAATGGAGGTCTTCGCTGTATGTACATACAGCCTGATACAGGTAAATACGTCCAATGCGGCAGTGAATCTGCCATATGCAGATATATGCATACTGTCATAGTGTAGTTGGTATCTCATTTTCCGCACCTCATTAGGCGTTTATACATGTCCGAATATTGAAATTACACTGCTAGAGCATCCCAAATGAGACCAATTGCAATGACTTTTGAGGGTTCATAGATCTGGATAGGTCCAAAAAAGTAATACATGTACTGTAGCCGAAACCGTAGCTGTAAAGTGTATTTGTATACTCGAGATTGTTCAGCTCTTAATTTCTTGCTTTTAGTTGCTTGACAGTACGTATTCTGAGTTCTCACCGTATTGTTAATCGACAGCGGGCGAAACAAAATTAACTGGACACACTGACGTAACTGGCAACGTAGAACACCAGATCAGAATAATTATGTAAAACTGTACAATGTATATATGTGCACAGCGTAGGAAAAGCATCAAAATGTCATAAATTTGTCAGTACGAGTACAACGAGCTTGAAAGTTATCCTTTTAATTGATATATATACATGGTAACAAGTAATAGCACTGAATGTCAATGACTGTTACTGCAAACACGAGCTGTATTGTAATTGTACAATTAAGTTTGACCGGTAAATTTCTTGTGAACGAGATCACGTTGATTAGTTACGCACGTTCCAGCTCGGCAAGGTATAGATAAACACTTTCTGACTGCTTGCCGCACATCCTGCAGACACACCGCAAATAGGACGGGATCGATAAGCGCCTGCACCGGATACAACGCCCAGAACATCTTACGCATCCATTCCGGCGCCGCACGTCCAGTAAAAATCGTGACAGTGGCTGAGACATTATTTGGCAGCCAGCACACCGTAACGCTCATCGTCATCGCGGTCAACACCAAAAATCCGCGGTCCAGCTCCCGGTGACGGCTGCGAAACAAACTTTGATTGCGCGATGATACCGACGGCACCACATCGCGACCTTTCTCCACACCGGTACGGATCTTCTTGTACACAAACACCGGGTAGGATCCAATGACGAACGCGGTCGGAATCAGGTAAACGACAATTAAGACCACCAGGGTCCATGTGCGATGAGTTCCAGGATCAAGGTCACACCCGCCTTCATCCACACGGCCTTTACTGGGCAAATCAAGAAGCAGCGGCGGTAAGGTCACCAGGTGGATGATCGCCCAGATGGATAAGCACACAATTACCGCGAAATTCCTGGAGTGGTATTCGCGGTAGGAGAATGGATGGAACACCGCCCACAGCCGGTTGAAAGTGATGAGGAAGTGGGACATATTCGTTCCGCCGGTGAAGACGAAATTCCCGTACAATAACACCACACACGCGGCCGGTCCCATCCACCACGTGGCGTACCAGTCATTTAAGATCTGCAGGACGTTAACGAAGACGTCGTAACAAAGGATGTTGGACGTACATAGACTCATGACGTAGATGTTGAAGGGGGTGTGCAGATGGCGGTTGCATAAGAGAATACCTAGAACAAAACCGTTGGTGGCCAGGACACCGATGAGGGCGATGATATCCACGGATACGTAGAAGATGTTGCGGTTGGGCGAAAAGATGGCATCGTCGGTATCGTTGAGTGTGGTGTTGATGGTGATTACGATGCGTCCGATAATGACGGTACGGTTGTTGCGCTCCATTAAAACTGATGCGGCAAAAACGACGCCGAAACTGAAGACGAAATTTTAATAATGTTTTCGCCTATTAATGTACAGCTTTTGTCGGCTATCCCCATAAATAAAGAAATTCCTATACTAAGTTCGCAAAGCTTTACGGGAAAAGAATTTGTTGACTTTATGTTTTGCAGAAATGCTTCGCACCGATAAAACGTGCCATGCGTTATACTTTACGCAGTACTCTGTAGAACATAGGTTAAGCAGAAATTCTTGAACAGCCTGTTTTTATGGATTGAAAAATTCGAGGTTGTGCCAGTCTGGCAACCCCATCGATGCCCCTACTATAACGTCGGCTGTGTTAAGGTACTCAGGAATATGGATTGCCTTACTGACAGTCTTATTGTCGTTTCTTGCTACAGAGTACAGACTAACAATTGCACCGTAATCAGATATACCGCTTGTCAGCGGAAGGACATGGATCGCTTAAAAAAATTGAATGTTCTGGTAAAAACACGTACGAAATTCAGCAGCTGTCAAGTTAACGGTGCTGCATCGTACTCGGAAGTACTGTGTATTCGAATGTCCAGCGGAGTGAGCGGACTGCCTTGACAGCCGGAAGTGTATTTCAAGAAGAAGTGGTATACGTAGACAGAAGTGTGCTGGCTGTGTTTGTTTGTACAAGAAGTGTTGCCTCAACGCCCGGGGTACAGTACAGATTTACATAAATGTCGTTTTAATACGAAGAAAACGAACACGATCGCGCATTTCATTGTAAAATATGCTCAATTATTGTACAAAATACTTGTAACTATGACTTGTGCTCGAGCTGGCGGCTGTGTACTCAGTAAACAATAAATTCAAAGACGAACAACCGTAATTTGCGTACTAAAATGTGTAGTAGCCAGTAAAAAAGAAAATGTATGGTCCGCAATCACAGTTAAAAATAAACAAAAAAACACAGAAAATAAAATGTGTATTTAAACAAAAGTAAATTTAGTAAATTTATTTAACTGCTCGCTATTGTGAAATATATTTAATACCATTTGAACAATCGTATTTTTATAAACTGTCAGGTTTTTTTTACGTTATCGTCGATAGTTTTGCCATTCCGACATGCGAAATGTCAGGTAATGAATGGGATGTGTCCGCATTCCCTTATGATTTAAAGCTGCATCAGCAATAACCTGCACGATAATGCCGGGAAATACCGTCATATCCAGATATGCATCGGGATAGACATTGTTTGCTTTGCGCAGATGGTCCGTCTCCCCAAAGTGCCGGAACTTATGTACTGGTGTAAAATGTTGCTGAATATCAAATGGCGATTATTATGCCGATCTGAGATCATGTCAAGGTCCTTACCCGAAACATCCTTCTACTGCATATAAAGTAGTTTGCCTGTATGTAAACAACGCACTGCAAGCGACTGCAGTAATGTTTGTCTCAATTATGAAACCTTCCATTTATCACGTTTTTGGAGGCACTTTCCATAACCTAACCTTGAACCAATATTTTAACAATCAGTTTAATTTAACGGACTAGAAGTTTAATATTAATTTACTGTTTGGATATTGCCTCCCAACATACGTACGCCGTGGTACGAGTTTCAGGAAAATGGCGCTTGTCGGTATCGATACATTTGATTCGGGTATGTGTTGAGACACTCTTTGCTTTTGTCAACTATATATTACAAATATATGGTACCACTATTTTCCTAACAGACTTGATCTGCAGCAGCTTTCAGTAAATTAGTGAAGTGCTTTTTTGCTTTGACTTTAATTCAGGCTGCCAGTTATAACGAACAATTTTCAGTAGTCAGTAATCGTTCGACAGCTGTTTTCCACAAACAATCACAAATTTCTTAGTTTGATCAAATTTAATTCTTATGGCTTTCCGTTAGGTTCATTGTCGTCCAGCTTTATGGATAACCAGACCGCGCGGCAAAATATATCCAGCGTTGAGGAAGCCAGTAGCATTTCCATGTGGGCGGACCTTTCGTTGAGTATCGCCGTGTTAATTACCAACCTGCCAGTTTTACTGATTTTCTTGATATCAAAACCGCTGCAGACGCCATTTGCAGTCTACATCATTTTTCTCTTAGTCTTCAATCTGCTCACCTACTGCGTTGTGGTCAACCCGATAGAAATATCCAGCGACGCCATCTCCAGCGCTTGGGCTTTAAATATGCCGGCGTGTATTGTCAACATTTACGGGAACTGGGTCATCACGGGAATGTCATCCTATGCGCATCTCTTAATCGCTGTCAACCGTGTGTGGGCCATAGTGTCACCGGTATCCTACCGAAATCGGCATACAAAACGATTAGCGATTACTTTTTGCTGCGGTGTCTTAAGTGCACTGCACGTACTCTGTCTGCCGAATATTTTGTACAATCAGTTGACGTATTATCCCGGGTCGAATCCTTGTGGACTGGATGACACCAACCCGGCGCAAGCCATCTGGATTTTTGCTAATTTCTTCCTGGTCTTCGATATACCGGTTATTGCGGTGGTGGGAGTGTGTCCATTTATATTGTACAAAACCATTCGGCATCGGAAGGATCCTTTAAAGAATCTGAAAAATGATGGAGCGAGTAATTTTAGCGGGATACGAGGTGGAAAAGGAGAATCATCACGGGCGCTCTTTACCTTAACGGTTATGACCACAAGTCTTCTTATCTCGTGGGGACCGAATCAGTTGTACTGGACCATTAATTTTTTCCATCATTTGGAGCGACCATCTTGGCTGTATTTGGATCAGCTGTATAGCATTCAGGCGGTGGTGGATCCTGTAATTTTTGCATTATGTCTGCCGAATGTCCGTACATTTATATTGCGCGTTATAAACCGCGCGACCAAATAGATATACATTTGTTCGTCCCAAGGTTTTTTTGCAATTTGCTTGCACTTGTCCGATCGAACAAAATTTGTTTTCACGCTATTCTGTAGAAACTCCTGGGTAAAATAACTCGAAGATTTTACGAATCATCATAGTCATTTGAATAACGAATTTTAGGCGTTAAAAAGTCTTGACAGTTAATGGCTGATAAATTGTTCCACAAACTCATATCCTCGTATCTCCATGGACGTATACATTACCGATAATAATAATAATATTTCCAAGTTTTTCGTCGGCAAAGATAACGGTGCAAGAATGCATTCCAACGGCAGGCTGATATCTTTGCTCGTTCAAGCCCAAATACACGGTGCTACCTGTCAGCAGGTCACGACGAGAATTAGCTATCATAGCCTATCAATAATAATCTGAGACACGCACTTTTCTATTATACAGGTAGGTAGCACTTAAAACAGTGTTTGCTAATCTGTACAGATAAGCAGCTAAAGTTAAGTTTGGAACTCCTCGAACAAATCGTGCACTGCACTGTCGTAAACACACGATTTGACCGACTCGGGTCTTAATGAGATTAGAAAATGCTACATCGTACCCGACTAACCTAAAAAGCGAACATACAGTAGTTAGTAACTCCTTTACTTTTGCAGGAGGAGAAAATCTTAATAATATATTGTTCCTTCTATCAGCCTCTTTGCCAGTTATCCAATAACCAGCACCGACAACTGCCACTTTTTTCGATTTGATATCATTTATGTTCCATCGGTGTTGAAAATTTGTTTTTGCTTTGTGAGTACAGAGTAGATGATCTACCACTGTAAGACGATGAACCCTAACGCTCAAGCTATCGAATCAGTTTGGGGATGGCAGGGGCAACAATCCACCATTGCCAATAGAGCCAGACACATTTTCGGGAAGGACATTTTAAGCGACGTCACCTTCCGGATCCAGCAACCCAATAGCCCCGTTGTGGACATCAAAGCGCATAAGTGAGATCACGGTTGGAGTTAAGACGTAGTATTTTACATAACCACCCAGAAGTATTGTGAGAAAAGTGTTCATAATTACTGACAGCGTACTTGATCTTTACAGATTTCTGTTAGCCATGGGCAGTGCGGTGTTCGAAACGATGTTTTATGGTACAGTTAAAGAGACCAAAAATATCGTTAAAATCACTGACATGGATCCAGAGACATTTAGAATTGTTTTAAGGTAGAGGTTACTTCAGTTACGTTTACTTCAATTGCGGCAATTACATACTGTACGCTTACTTCTGAAGAGGATTTATCTACAATATCTGCATGTGTATGTTGCTGTGTATCTTATAGATACATCTATTATGACCAGATTGGCCCGTTCAACAAATTAACCGCATTCTCTGCTCTTTATGCCGCGAAAAAATACGGCATCCCAATTTTGAAAAACGCCTGCGATCAGTACTTGAGACAAAATATAGCTGCCGATAATTGTCTGGCTTGGTTTGTTCAGGTATTATTTGCTGATGGAATTAAAGTAAAATTATGAACTGTCCAGAGTGTACATACTACATAGCACAAAACTGAGGTACTGATGTATGCAGACAATTTTAATAATCAACAAATTCCAGTCATATGTGCCATATCCAGCCGACTCAGACTGGAATAGTATATTTAACTTCAATATTTGATTGAATCGTGGATGGTCCAGTTTACCTTTTACCGTATATGCTGTCCGTAATATTTCACCTAGGCAAGGCTGTATGATGAAACCAACTTGGAGAAGTTCTGTTTGGAAAAAATTGATGTATGGGGAGCATCTGTACTGCATTCCGCAGATTTTTTGGAAATTGACCGGGAGGTTTTGTCAGTAATCTTACGTCGCGACACTTTAAAGGTCAAAGAGGTGGATGTATACAATGCAGTTATGAAGTATGTACGACGTGGAGAGATTTGAAATGTGCGTTTTATTGTAACTTAACCTGGAACTGTAATCAAGGCTAATAAAACTTGAAATTTTTAGATGGGTGAAGCATCAGTGTGAACAGCAAAAAATCGATTTTACTGGAGCCAACCAGCGGTCGGTTTTGGGGGATGCACTCTTCCTAATAAGATTTCCTACGATGACTTCCGAGGAGGTTGCTACTGGACCCGCCAAGGTTTACTGCATTATTTAATTTTCGACTACTCAGGATTTGATCAGCTTATCAAGTTCAACTAAATGACTTGCGCAATACCAAAATGAGTTATTTTTAAAGTTTTAACATTAGACAGTTATAACTGTGTATAATTTTGGGCAACACTAACCAACTGACCTTTAAGTTACCATTGATTTAATTGTCGGTCCGACGGACCGGATGTATCTGAGAGAGTACACTACTCTAGTCCTGTCTGATGTACTTCCGTTCCGTTAGACGGGAAGTCAATAGTTTGTCATGGAGAATGATTTTTTTCAATTAATTTTTATGCCGCTTATATGGTTTGCAGTCGGGCGCGTTACTGGCAGAAGAAATCAGTCAGCTTTTTCAGTTTTGGTTCGCCAAGATTGCGCTTCCAGAGAAGTTCATCCATCGAATGAGACATGGCAACGAGACAGAAGTGGCTATTTCTAGGTTTGATAGTACGAATAGCATGGAAAATTGGACGTACATGGCTGGGTTTCCCGATGTGATAAGGTACATACAGATCTTCTGAATAGGGGAAATTCCATTTCGCGTTATAAACACCTTGGCTGTAGGCACTGCTCTAATTGTCCGCCCAGAGTTTCGCGGCTTGGTTGCACATATAGCGTCTATGCAGCCGTATGGTAGTGCTCCGGGCAGATGACTGCATGGAGCAGAACGGGGAAGGTGTGTAGGGCGATACTGAGTTCGCCCTGCATACGTGCATCAGAAACCAAGTTATCAACAGATTAATATCTTTTGGATTTTGTGCAGGTTCTCTGTCACATCCATTCTGAAGATTCACAATGCAAATTTAGTAAGATGTCGTACAACAGTTATTTTACGCACATAAGTACATAGATTGCGAAGCCTATCTCACCACTCAGGGATAATTTTTTGTGATCAAAGGGCGGCCCGACGGCGACAATTAACTTGGTTGCTATTGGTTTGTTTATCCAAAATCCACTTCCTGCCGGCGTTGCGTGCACTGCCGCTATCAAAATATACGAATATGAAAGAGTAAGCGTTCGTGGATATTATAGAGACCAGCCACGGGAACTAGAAAGCTTCCGACAAATATGGAATATTCCCGGTCATACGAATTCAACTACTGCAAAATTTAAATTTGGCTCAGCCTTTCCAGTAATGCCCGAAAAACAATATGCCCTCTCGCTGGAAATTAAAGTAAGCGAGTTATTCAGCAAAGGCACTAAATGATGTCAAACTATGGGCAAGGATGAGAAAGTTTATATTGAATTGAAGGGCATGCAACAATCGGTCTATGGTACAACCGGGAAATCAACTGTGACCACTTCTTCTGGGAATTGTGCACTATCTGTACAATTCTTCGACACTCTAGATCCAGAATGTATGCATAATGCAAGTCATACAAAATACAGTCATTTATTTAACATGCACATTACCTGATGGTTAGTTGCATTTCTGCAGAATACATGCTAAAAATCGGAATGTGAATGCTTGTAGATGACCGCCAACGAAATAGCAGCATGCACGGATATTACTCCAATCAAAGACAAATTGGCTATAATCCAAAAAATGGAAGTAGTACGTGCGGGACAACAAGTGCTACTAACGGACAATTTCCTCAACTTTACTTTACAGTAGAAGAACCAGCGGCGTAAAGACCATTAATTTGTTCGGCAAGGGTTGAGGTGCGCCGAAGTGAACCTTTCAGTGTTCAAATAACGCCAAGTTCCTAAGCACATCCGGCACATAAAGGTTGAATTAGCAGTTCTATGTGCAACAATTAATGAATAGTCTACATGTATGATTACAGAAAGTAAATTAAATACGATTGCTTAATTAGCTTCTAGCGAGAAACAGAAAAGACATCCAATTACAGTACACAGAACACAATTTCGACTAACCGCATGCAGTACCATTTTGGGCGTACTATTATTACTTATTGCATAATTTTACTTATTACTTACTCTTATTATCTGAACTTATAACTCGTACATTTATTGCACGCAGCCCCTTTCCAGCTAATGTGGCATACTGCGCTGTAGTGTCTCAAAAAACATGCTCTATCACTCCAAAGTCCAAACTACGGTAAGTGTAATAGTCATAAAACGCCACAAACTGCAAGGCTAAAATAACCTTAATTAAATATAACTTCAAAATTTTGAGCGCATGGAGCATCGTGTTATGGTACAACTGGGAAGCCATCAGAAACCATCTTCGGCGAACTGCTCACTCATAGTGCAGTTCTTCGATGCCCATGATCCAAATGTACTCATACTGATATCAGTTTTATTAGATTAATAAAACAAATGCACTAACTCACTAGCGCATGGTAAAAATCGTTATTTTTTTGTTTTTTAGACGAGCACCAGCAGATTAGCAATAATAACATCTACGGGGATGGTTATGGTAATTACAGACAAACTGTCTACTTATAATACAAGCGGAACAACAACTACTGCTAGCGCACAATTTTCCTCACTTTTATTTCGAAGTACCTTAACACGCTATGCCATCGTAACCGCTACAGCTGTGGGAGCCGAACAGAACGTTATTACCTGTCTTTCTCGTGCACTGAATTTTTTTTATTATTCTTCCAGATGAAATAAAGTCATCGCTCCTTTTTCTTCCCTTTCGATATACAGAGTAGAATACCTTTAGACTTCAGTACTTGCATGCTCGCACAGAGTTCAGTGCTTCTCTGCGCAGATGGCAAAGTACCGTGCTTACACAAAACGCGGCGTATCATCATATTATATGTACGTACCGATGAGCAGTGATATAATGGTATAGTAAAACCTGCGTACTTGGAACACCTGCGGTTCCAAATTTTTCGTTCAATGTAGACGCCTGTTCAATGTACAGAACAGCTGCGCCCAGGGGGACCGCCCTTGGAAACAGTGCTTTAGCGCTCTAAAGCTGCCCCTGAGGGCGAACAGGCGCCGCCTCAAGGGGGACAGCCCCGCTAGCAAGCCTTGTTTACGCTATTTTCGCGCATAACAAATCAAAATCTGTAGGCATTCGCTATTTACAACTTTGACACCAGTGAACTCTGGTCCGTTAAGGGCTGTTTTTGTGTTTTTTCGCTGTCGAAACCAGATTCCGGCGCTTTGTTCATTTTCAAAAGGTCTAAATATTAGTAAATAATTAGATTCGTTCCAGCTAATTTGTTCAATGTTCACTTTAGGGAAGTGTTCAATATACGCGAGGTCCCCCCTGTGTTATAGTCTACGAGACGCGCCGGTTCCGTATTCCGTAATGACCGTTCAATATACACCAGTGTTCAATTTACGCGAGTGTTCAAAGTCAGAGGTTTTACTGTATGTGCTTTCGCTTGCACTCCTGCACTATCAGGTGATTTTACACGGGCTGACGGACACCTCCTAATAGGCAATAATGGTTCCTTGCTGATTCCTGTGATTTTTTGTGCGTCCTATTTTTCGATCAGTTTAAATAAAGTGTTGTAAATCTGCATGCAGAAGTGATTCAGTTTCTCAGCATCGTTCTGAAGAGAATCGGGAAGCCAATTTTGTTTTCGCACTTTGGCAACCATTGCGTTACGATGGACCCTAATGCTCAACCTGTGGAGCCCATTTGGGGATGGTAGAGTCAGCAGTCCACGATAGCCAACAGAACCAAGCACATTTTCGGGAAGGATATTTTGAGCGATGTCACTTTCCGGATCCAGCAACCCAACAGTCCTAAAGTCGACATTAAAGCACACAAGTAAGCTACTGCGGTGTTTCGAAGGAAATTCAGTTAACTAACAGCTGAGTAGTTTAGAGAAAAACTAAGATTATTAGCTGATATGATGTTCAAACGTTTATGATAAAAGTAAAACGAATGCTGCTTATCAACAAGTTACAAGCCCGAAGAAAGCACATTTTGTCGCAAGTACTGCTCGCAAGCGTCCTTCTCGTCCTTCAGATGCGGGATACCATACTTTTTCGCGGCATAAAGAGTCGAAAATGCGGTGGATTTGTTGAAGGGTCCAATTTGATCGTAATAAGTGTACCTACCAGGTTGTACAACATTGTTAACGTAGATCACATGTCGCCTTGCGCTTGCAGTAACCGTGTAGCGCATGTACAATACAGCAGTCAGGGTAAGCGCGCTTTACCTTAAAACGATTTCGAACGTCTCTGAGTCCATGTCAGTAATTTTAACGACGTTCGTAGTTTCCTTCATAGTGCCGTAGAACATCGTTTCAAAAACCGCACTGCCCATGGACAAGAGAAATCTGCAAAATCTCGTGTTTTAAGAAACATAATTGTCTGGCTTGGTTTATTCAGGTGAGTAGTTTTCACTTAATGGATTGGTTTGTTTTGAATACTTTGTTTTGGTTAGCAAATGGTTCAGTACTTCAAAGTATACTCTGTAATACTAACTTGCAAACTGCTTAAGAGTAGCCAAGATCTTAATACGTGGGTGATTCGTTGTTCAAAAAGAGTGAACACGGTCCGTTGTTCAGAAAAGTCGAAGTACTGTACGTAATCGTATTCCTGCTCTTAGTCGGCGCTAGATTCGTATTCTTTAAGTTGTTTGAATCATAGATGTTCGGCATTGCGATATAAAATTATCTGTGCATGGTTGTATCTAGGCGCGGCTGTACGGCGAAACCAGCTTGGAAAACTTTTGCTTGGAGAAGATTGATTTATGGGCAGCATCCGTACTGCATTCCGCCGATTTCCTGGAAATTGACTTGGAGGTGTTGCAAATCATTTTACGTCGCGACACTCTAAAGGTCAAAGAGGTGGATGTGTGCAATGCCGTTACGAAGTATGTACAGCATTATCTTCCTATTCATGCAGGCGTTGACAGTAACTCTAGCCGTTCGTTTTGGCGTGGTTACCTACTGACTAGATCTTGCTTGTTAGCGTTTCTAACTGAACCTCTTGAAGACAAAATCGGCAAATTTGTACATTTTCTGCAAATTCGACAAATCATTCCGTAGATTTCGAGAAATTTGTAAGTTTTCTGCAAATTCTAGATGGGCCAAGCATCGATGTGAGCAGGATAAACTTGATCCTACCGGAGCCAACCAGCGGTCGGTTTTAGGGGATGCTCTGTTTCTGATACGATTCCCTGTTATGACGCCCGAAGATGTTGCAAGTGGACCCCTCAAGATTCCAGATATCTAGCGTGTCTATTATGTTTAGCGATTAACCATTTCTTCAATTCATTACTTATATGGCTTGCACATTATGTAATGCCCATTTTTAAGGTTTTTGATGACCAGTCAATATAACAGCGAACAATCTAAAATGCTTGAGTTCAACAGAAAGTCAGCTTACTCATTCGTTCTAATTTATGATGTTCATTTACGTACTTTGCAGTCGGGCTTGTTACTGGACAAAGAAAGTAGTCAGCTTTTTCAGTACTAGTTCGCCAAAGCACCATTGCCCCAGAAATTCAGAAGCAGCCTACGAGTCGGGAGCCACACAGAGGTGATGATCTCCAGGTTGGGCAGCACCACCAGCAGCTCGGCAGCACATCTTGGGAGTACAGAGCCGGTTATCCCGATGTCATCAAGTATTTACTATCTCGTATACAACCGACAGAAGCAAAGCACTGACAGCCCATTCTGATCTTTTTAGGTTTTCTGTCACCTCCACCCCAAAATCACACAATGCAGACTCGGTACAGCTTTAGCTTAATACATGCACTTGTACATATACCTGTTTTTAATGATTGGTTGACTAGATAGCGAAGGTTGTTTAATCACTAATGGACAACAAATTTTATATACTTACAGAGTGTGACGTCGATTAACCTGGCTGCTGTTGGTTTTTTTCGTGCAAAATCCACTTCCTACCGGCGATGTGTGTACTGCAACCATCAGAATTTATGTTTATGAAAATGACAAAATTCGTGGATATTACAAAGACCAGCCAAAAGAACTGGAAGATTTTCGCCAAACGTGGACCATTCCCCACCACATAAACTCAACCACTGCTAAAATCGAGCTGAAACAAGCCTTTCCGGTAGTACCCAGTACGCCTTACAACTGCAGATTGCAGTAAGTGGATAGTAGAAACTGATGTGCAACTTGCAAGCATGGGCGTGGTAAAATTAATATTGATGTTGAATTGATTATAGGGCATGCAACAGTCTTGTTTTGGTACCAACGGGAGAGGTGGAGTAACCGCGTCTGCTGCAGATTGTTCGCTCTTGGTGCAGTTCTCCGATGGTCTGGATCCAGAATGTAAGCATGCTGCAAAAGGGTGTTATTAATGTTTTGTGCAGCTTTAATGGTTGGTTGTGCATGCTGACAATCGGAATTTTTATATTTTAGATGAACGCAGACAAAATAATGCCGGATACTCTTGTAACAGAGACCTGGCTATAACGAAGCGCTCCGAAGCTATGAATGCGGGACCACAACTGTTACTAGAGGACAGTTTCCTCAGCTCTATTTCGAAGTGGCCTAACCATTTGGCATCAAGAGTGTTTGCACCGGATTTTGTAGATACGTTCTGTATAAGCTCAAGGTTCACGCTGATGTTTTGCTGCATCCTTGTGTTATTCTTTTCGTCCTTTGAACTCCTTTCGTATCGCTAAATTTCGGTTTTCGAACTGTTGCGGAAAATAGGTGCTTCATTCGTTTTAAAAGTGCGATTACGCGTAAACTGAATAAAACCCTCTGTTCATTTTTAATGGGGCTATCTGAAGAGCGACAAGTATAATGTATGACAAAAAGAAGTTTATGGCTCGTTTAGCACATACTGCGCAGACAAGCGCTTCTCTGTTCGAGCCCAGTGCTGGCGCCTGGCGATTGTGATGCGAACCGGTTTTCCTCTTTCAGACTGTTCTCCGTTGATGAATGTTGCAGTGTTCGTTCTCCGTATTGTAATTTGGTTTTATAAAGTGTATTAACGTGCGCTTTCTTGCACATTGCACTGATACATTTGTTCGGTATACAATGAACGCTACAGTCAGCATCTGCTACCATCAGAATTTGGAAACATGATGTAACAGCAAACAATACATAATTGCTAAGCTTGCATTTTTGGGTCCCGTTTGAAATATACTTACTTATAAACTACAAGCATGGGAAACCACAACGACACAACAATGTCATTATCAGCAGTAACAATCGACTTACTCCCGCCGCTAGGTCATTCTCTGTAAAGATCATGAGTCTTCCGTGTCATTAGCAAAATCATAAGTATTCAACCCAGTAACCCAGCTGCATGGCCAAGAGTTTTGGTCTGTTCAAAGAACGGTACTATCCAAAACGCATCCGGCAATTTCCGGCTTACAAAGAATAATTTTGGAATTTTTTGGGTTATCAATTAATGTGAATACGTTGGCAGCCGAAACGGATTCTCACGCCCAGTATATGTAAACTAATTTTGTAGGAGGCGCCTAACGGTTGTTTCCTTAAGGATATAGTAAAGGTCAACATGCCTGTTCCAAGACTTCTTCTTATACGGGCACGTGCATGATAGCTGATCACATGCGCCGCAAAACAGGATTCATTGTTTGTTTAAAGCATCCTAAATTTAATTGTCACATTACAGACTGATTTCCATCAGAGTCTGTCGGTAAATACAAATTGCGTTTTCAGCGGAAAAAGATGCCCTCGATTAGAAAGCGTGCAAGAGAGGAAGTAGCTAGGGCTGCTGGTTGACTTGAGACCGCTCCACAGAAATCCCATGCCGGGATTAAGAGCGGGTGTATCTGTACATTATAAAGAGACCGTGGTACATTATTACCAAGTCTGGCGCCAGTAGCCAAGCACACCTTTGGGAATTGGGATACTGATGTTTGACCGAGTTTTAGTTGAATGATTTCGCTTCTCACTTAGCTTGCGGATATTATAATCACTCGTCACAGACCTTCCCAGAGCCTTTACTATTTGCAAAGTTGGGAAAATTTTCAGCCGCTGCAAAAAAAAAACTTTGCGACGCGGAACAAAAGTTATTGTTTCGTCGCTGAAGACTGAAAATAACCCGTAATGCTACCACGAGGCTGCAGCGGTTAAATACGACTGTGGTGGATCTATCAACAAACACATCGTTGTGGATCGAACTCTCCTTATCAACCATGATCCTGGTTACAAATCTTCCACTGCTGGTCGTCTTTTCGCTCACAAGCAGCTCCAAAACGCTTTCAGCGTCTACATCGTTTCCTATTGACCTTTAATCTTCTCACTTACTGCATAATTGGGAATCCGGTGGAAATGTACAGAAAAGCCGTTGCCAATGAGTGGGTCGTGGGCTTGACGGCTTGTATCGTTAACATCTTTGCTAACTGAGTGACAACCGGAATGTCCGCTTATTGCCATTTTTTTGATTGCTGCTAACCGCGTGTGGGCTATTGTGTCACCGGTAACGTATCGTGGAAGGCACACGAAAAAATTAGCGATTGCGTTGTGTATTGGTGTATTCATGATGCTCCATATCCTCTGCATTCCGAACATTGTGTGCAATCAACTACATTGCAGCTCGATACCAGATTACTGCGGATTAAATGATTCCAGTACGGTGCAAGCTGCCTGCATTTTCGCTAATTTCTTCGTCGTGTTCGACATTCCGGCAATTGCAGTGATAGGCGTCTGCCCATTCATCCTGTATAACGCTTTTCAACGCCGCAGTGGAGAGCGTCAGATTAGCGATTTCAACGGGCACCGCAGTGAACACTCAGGGGATTCATCGCGTGCACTTTTCACCTTAACAGTTATGACGCTAAGTCTCCTGGTTTGCTGGGGACCTAATAAATGGTACTGGACAATTAATTTCTTTTTCCGCATGAAGCGTCCATCTTGGCTTTACCTCGGCCAGCTGCACAGTGCACACTCTACAAGCTGTTGTGGATCCGATAATCTTTGGTTTCTGTCTGCCTGATGTCCGACAGCATTTGCTACGGTTTTTCACATTTAACTGGAAAACGCGAATTCAAACAGCGAGTTAGCGAGTAGCCAATATAGAATAGTTAAAATCTGAAGTCGATGGTTTATTACTACAGATAGTTACAAATTTACAATATATTGTATCCCTCTTAACAGGTACCTGTAATACGAGTTACACGACAAACGCTTTTGACCGTACACTACTGGTCGAGATTATGCATTTCAGAAAAAGAGAATAATTAATTAGTAATGTGCTCATGACTTACTAAAAATTAAGGGAAAATTATTATTAAGGAACCGGCTTGAGATTGAGTTTCAAATTGATCTCCTAAGCATTACACTGTAAATGCATTATGTGCTGTGAAAACATTTGCATTTTTGTTACCACAATGCGAACTTGAGTTCGTGCTCAAACAGGGTTACTTTAATCTTCATATTTGAAGGCTTAGAAGGTTTTTAACATTTCAAGGCCAGAGTATCTAATTCAAAAATTATGGGAATACTTTAGTACCAAGTTGCGCATGATTTCTTGCCCTATGTTTTTGAAAAGCAGTCACAACATTAGGACTTAGTGGATTATTGCCCATCACAAAACGTAATACCGCCGGATGTTTGCTTATCGAATCCGAAAAGGCATGAAACGAAAGTGTCTGTTACGGAATTGACGGTATACTGGCAATTACAAAATGTTGACAGCACTGGGCTCCCGGCACTTTCGGAACAGTCTTCCGATTAAAACTCCCTCCATCTGTTTCATTTATTCAGGACGTCTTCAGTAAAATGCCTTTACTGACCTTTCAATAAGTCACTTCAGCTTCCTTGCACCCTTCCTTGGAAACACTCAACGGGAAAGTTAATTTAGCAAGAGGAATTTCGCAAAAACCTTTTAGTAAGTAGTTGTCGTGCTTGCATCTCGATTTCATATCTCGATAAACGTACAACGACCGCCATGATAAAAAACAGGCGCAGAAGATGGAATAAGGAATGAGTGTACGTGATACGTGTTGAATAACCTGAGACTGAAACGTGAACTTGAAACTCAAGAAGCATATACAGTAATTCCAGCGTTTTGTTCATTCTTTTTCCCCTGACTTCTATGCCGCTGTTAGGAGCCGAAACATCGACCATTTTTTACAGTTATTGTTTTAGCGTGTGTTTTTTTTAATCGAAGACAGCCATTGAACTATCTGTAACTCGTATTTCTTCTGCAGTAGTAGACCAGATGCGCACAGGCGCTTCGGGGACTTACTTACAACGTTTTTCACCCTTTACATACAGACATCGAACGCAAAACCGCGCCCGTTTACGCGTCTTGCATGTATGTATGTACGGGCTAAACTCGACCGCATGCGCACAACAGTCAGGACATACAGACTGACATGTAATATGCGTGCTGTGCTGACATTATGCTTCTAACGATAAACTGTAGCACTACTTTTCTAAAAGTTAAACAACGACACATAACCTGTTTAAAAGTACCAAAACAAGGCGCGCTAAGGTACTGCTATGCAGTATTATTTTAAGCTAAAATAAACAAAAAAAACAACAAGATATACTAACAATACTTCTGGGTAGCCAGATCACAGCGGGAACCCGCCACACGGTCAAGCAAAACATACAATTTTCTGTCAAAATATACGGACGAAAAACCAAAAATGGAGTTGTCCAGGAGTATAAATCGTAGTCGGGTTTCCACATCCGATCAGGAACTCAAGCACAGAATGCAGTAAACTGCAACCAACACCCACAGCTGCGTAGCCAGCGCGCAGTGTTCCCTGCGATACGACGGCAGCAAATGGCAGCAATACATGACAAGTATACCACAAATCGTTAGAGACAGCCACAAGGATTCAAGGACCTTTTGGCAAGTCGGAATCAATTTGTAATACGCTAGTCAGCTGCGGTGGGATTCAAATTATTTTAAACTGAACGATAATCAGGTAGCAAGCGATCAGTATAAACAGGAGTGCATCTGGCCGAACACTTTACTGCACCGTCTTATCTGAATTCCCAGAATACAGGCTTCCCTGCACTATAGATGAATATCAGTTTCATATTTCTGATTTCAACAGCAAACTAGAAGACAAGAACTTAAAAAACTTTAAAAAAGACGGAAAACCCTGTCGTTTTACTGTGTAACCGTCGCTGTCAGCCCAAAGTATGGAGAAACGATCACGTGGTTTTGAATTTTGCTATTGGCGGTGGGCAGCCTCGATCTAACTCAGAATGCTGACCCACCAATAAAAATCGCGGAAACGCGAAGTTTGTAAGTACCTGGGCGTCGCTTAGACCGTTACAAGGTACGCCCATGTTCGTAACGGTTTTCGTCGACGCCCACCGACAGACATCGAGCAAAAAGCGACTTACATCGAAGCCCAGCCAATTGGGACTTGGTACGCCTATTTCTCGTTTCGATGTAAGTCGCAGATGCTCGATGTAAGTCCGCGTTTTGACTCTGCGCATCCTCTGGAGTTTAGAGCGCTGCACCATCATGCTGATTCATCGAGTGCTATTTCATCACACCGACCAATTAGCAATGCAGCTCTCTGTGTGGGCGGTGCCACGAGCGATTCCCACGCTATGCCGGCCTCTGCGGCTTACTCAATCAGGTTTCAGAAAATTGCCATTGCGCTGTTGTTTTGCCAAATATTTGCCGGCACAATTCATTAGCGACCGATCCGTCGACTTTTAAAGTTGTCATTGACTGACGAGAAGCACCGCTGCAAAGTTTCTTATTCCGCTTTCCTTTTTCGGTGCGCTATCCTT